GGCTACCCAGCGCTTTACCATCTGTCCCACGGACGATCCTTTAATATTCACTTTAAAAACAAGACCTGAAGAAAGATCAGCTCTGATCTATAATATGGTGCTGGATTATGGCTGCTCAGCAAAGTCAGGCAATACCTGCATCTGTGCCCTTGATATTGTGCACAAGAGTTCGCATTTTACAGAAGATGCAGCATGTGTATAAGCCCTAGGAATGTTTTGGCTAGTTAAGACTTAGTAATCTGTAAATCAGCTGCTTGAAAAAAGCAATCAATTTTGTAACAGGAAGGCACTGTAGCATTATCATCTTTAACCTAACTTCCAATAATAAAATAGATTTACTTGTTAAACGCAAGTTTCAGACTCTAGAAACACTGCAACAGTTATTGAATAGATTGCCATGACCTTTGCTACAGCTATTTAAGGTCCCTGGAGAAATGTTAACAACTTTGGTGATTTGTGATTTTTCCTCCAGGCCACCAGCAGGTCAACATTTTCACATATTCAGTGTCATATCTCAAAAACTATAAATTGACTGCCACAAAATTTTGTACAGACATTCATGGTTCCCAGATGGTGAATCTTAATGAGCTTGGTGATCCCCTGTTTTTTCACTAGCGCTGCCAGCAGGTTGACGTTTTTGTTTAAGTTTGAAATATTTGGACAACTATGTGATGGATTGTCAGGATTGGCACAGACATTCATGTTCACTCAAGATGAACTGATCCAGTGACATTAAACTTGCTTAACATTGATATGTGAGCATTACGGTTGTGAGCTTGTTAGCATGGTGATGTTAGCATTTATCTCACTCATGCCTGTGCCTACGTACAGCTTCACAGAGCTACTAGCACAGCTGTAGTCTTGTTAAATTATGCAATGCGCTGACTGGAATAAAGAAGGAAGTAGGCAGACTGGGGTGGTTAAATGAGTCACAAAACATAGAACTTTCCCCCGCAGAACGGTGTTTGAAACTGCTAAAATGATGTGAACTGAGTCATTTTAAGGTACTGTACGTCGTCACCATGTTTCTCTTCCTAAACCTATCCAAAGTAACATTACTTGCCCGAAGCTAAAGACGCTCAACCACATTTCTTTTTCTAAACCTAACAAAAGTAACTTTACTTGCCTTGACCAAACCTACGTAATTTTACGTTAAGTATGTTACTTTACACCAAGTATGTGAAGTCATCTATGGGGAACTAATTGGTTAGGTGTCATGCAAGCCGTTTTATGTGCATTTTCATAAGATATAATACAAACTTTTGTATAAGGATACATTGCAAAGCCTCATTGGATGCTCTTTAGGCCCTTAAAAGAACTGCATTATAAAATGCGTCTGCACTGGCTTAAGCATTACAACAGCTAACACTCAGTGCCTTCTGTTTATTTGAAATAAAGTGGAAAGTGTAGGAGAAGTTCATTTTAGGAGTCCGTCATCTTGAAAACTCCATGTGCATAACTAGAATGCACTCTGGTACCCACACTCTTTAGCCAGTTTATTGATCTATGAAAGTGGGGCAGAACCAGTTTAATTTAAAATACTGCAAAGTGTCTATGAGACAATATTCTACTGAAAAATTCCTTGAAGGGAAGTGCCGGGTCTATCAATTAGTTTCTGTCTTCAAGCCAAAAGTCTTATATGTAGTGGTGCTGTCTCTCTCTCTTAGCATACAGTGTTGTATGTTTGTTTTATCAAAGGTTATAATCTCCTGTGAGTAATTTAGGCAGGACAATAAATACAACTGAGTAGAATGGGAGGTCACAAACACGTGAGTTACAGCAACTACCGTGAATAAAACTTTTTAAGTAATTAAAATAGTAAAATCTGAAATTGGTAAAGGTTTTACAACTTTGGACTGCACCAATTAACAGATAAAATTAGTTGAAGATGAAACTTCAACATTTACAGTTGACAGGATGCTCACATGTTCACCTTAAAGTAACTCTAGCTTAGTACACTGTCAAGATATAATTTGTTTTGACTGTATCAAAGACTGAAATTTGTTGGTCATATCCACTTTGGTTTTCTCACGGTCTTTCTCATTTGCTGCTCTCTTTAGGTAAAACAGGTCAGTTCTTGCGGCTGATCATCTACACCAGTTTGACTCTCCTGTCCCTGCAGTGCTTCATGCAGATCCCCTTCGCCTATATCCCTCCACATGGTAAAAAAAAGGACTTGTGAGACTTCACAGACTAACAGTGTTTTTGGAAAATAAAATTTCACCAGTCGTGGGAATGGACCTTAAGGAAATAATGGTTGAACTGACTGTGAAAAAGGAAGAATTAATATATACTCTATATTGTAATCTCTAACAGGAACTAAAGAAATAGCTTTGTTCACAACCTGATGACCATTTTTTCTTTTTTTAACAGTTAGTGGCCACTGGGAAGATGTCCTCTACCATTTGGGCATTGTAAGGTATAGGAGCACACCTGACATTGATATATTCTAGGATTTTAGACCGCTTTCACAACTTTCTAGTTCAGCTGACTTCAGTGCAGTAAGAAAATCAACGTATTAAGGCTTCAAACTTATGAATTAGTGAATTTTTGTTGCCACTGTTATATAATATGGTATGGTAGTACCAATAATATAATACCAACAAATAACATACACACTTTTTTATTTGACCATCATACCTTTCTGGTATGAATGGAGATCAGTGGAGGTCAAACCATGATAATGCTTGTGTCTTTTCAGATTCAGCTCGGTTGACGCTGGGAACATCGTGCGACTCCTGGCCCCAGATGTGTTCCTACTCTTCTCCTCTCTCTTTGTACTGAGGCTATGCCGAAAACTACTGCGTGCTGTGCCACAAATCAGTTTGCATGAAAACGGAATACCGCAGCCTGACCCTGAGGTAACTGCGAGCACATATCAACTGTTATAACTTTACATTAGGTTAAGAAAGCGCATTGATTACAATCTGATTGTTCATGGGTCTGACAGGAAGCGGAAACCTCTGAAACTGAGTCTGATGGAGGAAGTGACACAGAGGGGTCGTCCTTTGACAGCTCAGATGTGACCACGATGCCGGTTCAGTCGGGTCCGCCCCAGTTTGTCCAAAAGCTGATAGTGTTTGCAGCCGGAATGAGGCTGCTGCTGTCAGCAATCATGAACACAGCAGGGAAAGTGGTGGTGACTTTGCTGCTGGGGCTGGCAGGTACAATACAGCAGCTGGTCTGAGCATGCAGGTGTACTGTAGTTTTCAAATGTTGAGAAGTTTTATCTATTTCATGTTTTTGTAATACTATCTATGTGTGTGTGTACAGGTATCACGCTGCCATCCCTTACCTCAGGTGTGTATTTCGGGGTGTTTCTCGGGCTGGTGTGGTGGTGGGTATTCAGTCGTTCCATCAGCCTGCTACTCTTCAGCTCCTTGTGTGTAATGATGGCCATCTTCAGCGGAGGACACCTTCTGGCTCTGTACCTCTACCAGCTACCTCTGTCTCAGGAGCTCGTGCCACCAGACGATGTCTACGCCAGGTACAGAAGTCATTAAAAAAGAAGATTAGACTGACTTATGCACTCTTCCTAAAGTCTGACATTCAAGCTCACAAGTATTGTTATTCCTCTCTCCAATCTAACTCTCTCTTCAACCATCTCTCCTTTCACTCATCCTTCCCATCTCCATCTTGCACTCCTTCCGCTCTACCTGTCCCAGGTTGTTTGGTATGACAGGAGTGATCAGAACCAACAGCTCAGACCCGCACTCTCTTGGTCTGCACCCACATGTAAGCTGGCCTGACTTCATCAACCCTTTGGTTCTACTGCTGCTCTACTACACATTGGTGGCTTTGCTGCACAAATGGGTCCACATAACAGAGGAGGTGTGTGTAATTGTATTTGTGGAACTTTGTTCTATAGATGATAGACAGTGTTTGTGTGTATTGTTGGGGCTTCACAGGAATATTTCATGTTGGGCTACAAATACATGGACTAGTCACTACTCTACTACTGCAACTACGATATGGGCCTCTTAAAGTATATTACTGGTAATCTTCTAGCTAATGCTCGAGGGCTGGCAATGCAAAATACTACTACTACTACTGACATACTATGATTACTTTGAGTGCTGAAGATGTGGGCAAATAAACTTCACACAAAAGTCAAGACAATATTAACTTACACTACCTTTAACAGCAGTTGCATTTCTCAGGATACTGTTGATGATGAGGAGTGTGAGAGTCCAGTAGAAAGTCCAGATGCTCCTCCAAGCTTCTCCAGGGTCCTCTACGTCTCAGGAGATAAGCAGGAGGTAACCTACAAACATGGATATGTTTCTCCTTAGTTGTATTGCTGGTTCACAGGAATATTGTTCATGTATTATCCCAGTGATTAGAATTCTACCATTGTGTTTATTGTTAGCTGTTCTGTACAGACACAGATCTACTGCTATTTTACCTCCAACCTACACCAGCAGCATTTCAAAACAGGTCTCCTACAATATTTCATAGTCACCCACAGATTCTCTGTATTTTCAGCTTTTAAGCAGTACGGACGACGAAACCTATCTACCTGATGAGGTGAGTTAATTTATTGATAAATACTGTTTTCATGCATTAATCATGACTGATAATAAGGTGAGCCATGTGAACACTGCTCTAAATTTACAGTGTGATACACTTTCTTTCCTCAGCCAATGATTTTGATCGCAGGGAGTTCCTGGGAAGATATCCATACAAATGATCTGGGATCGCTGTTAGGAGGGGCAGGGTACACAAACTGTTGCCCTCCACCAGAGTATGAAGGCAAAGACTCCCCATCACATGGTAATCACTATGCTCAAATATCTAAATACATGACCTCAGTTACCTAACTCTTTCATTTCACTTTTCTTTAACTTTCTCCCTCCCTTGTGCTAGAGACAGAAGGCGAGGAAGTCATGGGGGAAAAGAGTGAGGAGGACCTGAGGACTCTTACAAAGACTATACCTCCACCCTCAGGCCCAAGTGGCCTGGTCATCTTTGGACGGCTGGTACAAAAACACAGCTATGTCAGCGCCCTTATCATCATGATGGTAAACTATACTAACACCGATTTAAGTTTGTTATGAGTTTTTTACCAACTACGACCAGTGCCATCACATCAAGTCAACAGTAGAGAACAAATCTGAAAAGCAAAAAATGTTCCGGTGTAGGTGAAGCATAGGTCAGCTCAGTACTGCAGATATAAGATATAATAAGATAAGAAAGGTTCATATACTTTATATGCTACTGCAATGCAAGGGAGTGACCATAGAGGTTTGAACATATAACAGGATTCCCACACATTTTAATAGACAAAATTTAAAAACTTTTCCATGACTTTTCAAGAACCTATAATAACATTTCCATGACCATTCACAATGTATAACACAAACAGAGCTGTATAGTATACTTTACACCAAATCAGAATTACAGTCTTATTGGCGGTCCATACACACAAAGCAGTAGAGCTGCCAGAGTGTGGAAGTGACAGCTGACAGTTTGATTGGCCCGTTGGTTAATTTGTCAAAAAAAAAAAAAAGTATGCTCTGTACCTTTGAACTACCATGCTCCACTTTCAGAGCAGTTAAATTTAAGTGTGCATTGGTGCTCCAAGTCACAATTGCGTGCCCTAGGCTCCCTGTGTCAATTGCTTCATCACAAAAAGTGGAACAATTTAAAAGTAGTAGGGCACAGTTATGGAAATGTGTGTTCTTGTCCCACTTGCCCAGTGTTGTTCAGGCATATCAGATTCAAACGCTATTCAAACATAATTCCAACTAGTTGGCATATATGATGAGGAAACGTAAGATGAAAAGAAAATAGAGAAACGAACATAATGGTATACAAAAAGTCATGCATTGATGCATGTTACAAATACTTTAAGTCAAAAGCTGGTCTACAAAAAATAAATTCACCATGATGTTACATTATGTGAAAGGTTATCCACAGAAGATTACTGTTACAATTTAATAACACATAACAAAATCCCACAACTCTTCCAAAACTTTCAAGGATTTTGCGAATTCCATGACTTTTCCAGGACTGGAAAACAAGATTTATTTCATTTAACGACTCTTTCAGGTTTTTCATGACCCAGGAAGCCCAATAGAGGTATGAAATACTATGAAAATGTATAAATCTAATTTTTTTTTTTTTTTTAACAAAGGACCTCTGTAAGGTAGATTTGTTTATACATACATGTAACTGTCTTTTATTATTATCAATCTGTCAATTTTGTTTCAAATTATTGATTATAATTCAGAAAAATAAATTTCCCAGAACCAAAAGTGATGTCCTCAAACTGCTTGTTTGGTCAAACCAACAGTCCAAAACCAAAAAGATATTAAATTTAAGAAGACACCAGAGAATTTTTTTTACATTTTTGATGGATAAATGACTGAAACGATAATTCGATAATCATAATGACTGGTGATTCATTTTCTTTGACTGACAGACTAACTTTTGGGTGAGTAAAAGTTAGCTAGCTAACTTTAGTCAGTAGACTACAGTACAATATACTGTTAGCATTAGCAAAGTTAGCTAACGTTATAATGGAGTGGAATTATACAAGTTATTGCCAGTTTAGATTTAACCATCTGATATAATCTAAACATAAATTCATCAGAAAACAGCACAGACATTAGCCTTAACTTAAAATCTTTGTTAGCAAGATTGTTAGCTAATGGTAACATTGACGTTACCGTTAGCTTAAAATGACCGTTAGCTGTCACCATTAGCGCGCATAAAGTGGCGTTAAAAGAATAGTGCAAAAGCATAAAATTAATTGCTGTTTGCTGCCATAATGTCACATTATCGAAAATATGTTGTCTTTTAGATATGGAGTATCACCTACAACAACTGGCTGACTTTTGCCCTGCTGGTGTGGTCCTGTATAATTTGGATGATGAGGGACCGGCGGCGGTATGCCATGATGTCCGCCCCGTTCCTGGCTGTGTATGGGACCGTCCTGGTGGTGCTGGGCTTCGTGAGCGGGCTGCGTCTGAGCCGGGCCGAGCTGTACCCAGGCCTCCCCCCCGCTGTCATAGTGGACTTCGACCTGAACAGCTATCACCCTGCGACCTGTGTCCACCTGGGAGCAAAGGTGAGGCAGGAAGAAGGATAAAGTCACATGAAAATACTTTTGTTGACCTTTATTAAAAACGTCATGAGGTCACTGAATTGTTTGAAAGAGAAAGCACAAATAGAAAAAGACAACTACTGTATATTGTTAATTAAGCTACACCTCTTTCCATAGATAGAGCTTGTGTATTTATTTCATGTTAGAGCACCTAAAACTTCAATTTTTTATCTTTCACATTAAATAAGCAAGCAGCAAATGTTTTAAATTGTACAGTCACACTAATCTGCCTCATCCTGACTGTGTGGGGTCAGATTTATATCCCAGTTACTGTCATCAGATTCTGATTTTGATTTTTAGATTTTTAAATTGGTGCATGAAAATACCACACATGTTGGACCAGTGATGGAAATATTCCATGAGGAATAAACAAGGATTGTTCAACCTATCTCAGATAATATCATGTTCATGTGCACTTATAGTAAGAGACTGATTAAGAAAATGGTTTTTCGGGGTCTTTAAAGCAGATGGGACAGGAAGCACATCAGTTAATCTTCTAAGCATTTATAGTATTGACCAGCTGCCAATTAGACACTTTAAGATCAATTAATTCAGTTTAAAAATCTCACCTAATCAAAATGTCAACTGCACCCACAGATCACACTCTGAGAACAACGCTTTGACAGTTTATTTATTGCAATTTCTTCTTTTGGTGGCTCTCCAGATTATATTATAGCTCTTACACAATTATTAATTGGTAGCTAACTATGTTTACTGGAGCAGATTGTAAAACTGTGAGTGTACACTGATTGTTTTGCACTCATGGTACACTGTGTGCCCTGCAGGTCTTCTACAGCTTCAGCTTTTGGTTGATGTTTCGTCAGCAGCTAAAGGAGAGACAGGAGGAGCAAATGTTAAAGGGGGAATCTCTAGATGACGTCAAAGTCGTGCCACGTAATTCTTAAATTGGCTTTACAAAGATTATAGCTACTGTGTTAGAGATTGAAATTAAGTTTGATGTAATGTAAGATCTTTTTACTCATGAAAAACATCCTGACATGTTACCAGGCTATATGACTGACTTCAGTTTAATGAAAGTTCCAAATCTCTCCATTTTCTTCTTCTTATCCTTTTCTCCTTCTGTCTCTCCTTGCCCTTCTCCTCTTGGTTTCCTCCTTATCAGCTGAGGAAAGTCCACCATCACCTCTGGCTGCAATGCTGATCTCAGGAGTAAAAGGAATACTAGTGAAATACTGGATCCTCTTCTGCTGCTCCATGTTCTTTGTGGTCAGCTTCTCTGGAAAGGTATCTATTAACAGACTAAAAAAATAAGAATGGGCAAAGTCCTGCTCATGATATGTGTCTAACCAAACTTTCCCACACACTTCATTTCTGGGTTCTGAGGGCTATATGAAGTTAGGAAGCTACAGTGAAGGTTGCTGTAATAAGAATGGCATTATAAGCTGCATACCTGAATTATTCTGGTGAAGGCTTCAGGGCAAACAAGGGTACAGTTATTTGTTCTGATAATCTTTCTTCATTACTGTCAGCATTCTGTCCTCTGCTGTGGTGACCAGATTTTCCCACAATGGTTCTTAGTTTTAAAAAGAAAAATTACCGAGTGCTCATGGGTGTAAAGTAGTAAACTCAAGGTGGACGCCCCGAAGAAGACCCAGTGTGGGTTGAAACCAGTCAGTGTTCTCCTTTTGTGATTTTTAAATTTGATATGCCCTATCTATGTTAAGCATTTTAACTATACATCCACTAGTGTGCCTGAAGTTAGCCCAATTGCTGTCCTTTGTCTATAGTGATAATTTGAAGTATCCGTAATCCAATCAGTCACCATTCCATTTCACACAATGTGCATTTGTCTTGTCAAACACCCAACATGAAAAAAAAAGACACACTTTAATCTTGGGTAGATTAGGGAAGCCATTAAAACATCATCTATCACAAAACTTTTACACGTACAGTACTCGAGATGGTGTACATGATTGCATAGGCCACAAAACAAAATATGAGGTGAAGAATGAAGAAAGAAAAATGTTTGGGTTTTTTCGTTCTTCTTGAAAGAATATTAATAACTGCATGCAGTCTCAGGAGTTTTTCTGGGTCCAGAAGTTCATTTAATCTTTGGTATATTTCCTGTATGTCGTGCAAGTAAAAGTTAACTGCTCATCATCTTGATCATGTTTCACTTGCATAGGTGGTCGTCTACAAGATCCTCTACATTGTCCTCTTCCTCTTCTGTCTGGTCCTCTACCAGGTTAGTGATTTTAGTGATTTGGCTGCCAACATTTACTCTGTCTTTTGAAATGACGTAGTGATGGAAGACTTTACCAGTGAAGCTGTAACTTACAGAATACGAGGATTGGACAATATATTGATATTATATCAATATTGAGATATGAGACTAGATATTATCTTAGATTTTGGATATTGTAATATCTTAAGTGTTGTCTTTTCCTGGTTTTTAAGGCTGATGTACAGTAAGGCGATGCCATTTTCTGAACTTACCAGAGTGTTCTAGCTGTTTTATTATTTGTCTTTACTCACTTGGTTATTATTTCATTGTGTAAATACTTGTTTTGTGGTCTTGTGTAAAGACCAGTCAACCATGTCAAATTACATGTGTGTTACTCCTCGGAGTGAAAAATTGACATACATTTATTTTTTGACTAGATGACAGGTAGAAATTTGATACTGAGATTGCAGGGCTCAATAACCAGGGAGGAAATCTGCTTTAACAGTTGAGACATTGTTGCCTTACACACATCACTATAGTTTCAGGTTAGTGACATCTTCCACTGTGATGCGTTGACTCCTAAATCATCATCTGGGAATCATACAGCTGCTTATGTATAAAATTGTGCAGATCGTATTTAAACTCTGGAACACACACACAAACAGACCATGTGCTCCTCATCGATACTATTTTACAGTTAAAAGTATTGATTATGACTCATAAACACACACACGTCTTTTTTTGCTGCTGTTTCCCCCTTCTTAAGTTTCTGCTGACCTTTTAGAAACACGGTAGGCACTTACAGGAAGGCCTAATGGCTGTGGAGGCGACGCAAGTCAAGACAACCAGACACCATTTGTCTATTCGGTCAACATCAGCAACACCCAGGTGTTTCACAGACTGGAGTGTGAGGGGAGAGGAATATGGGCAACACAGTTCTAACTGAACATTCAGGACAGACTGTGTTTTAGGGATTACGATAGAAGAAGGAAGTGCTGCATGGCTCTGATGGCCAATTCCCAACCCAATGTGTATCAACTTGGGGTCTTCATCAGAGTGCTGTTGAAGACCTGGAGTCGATACATCTCGTTCAGTTAGATTGCCTATATGTTTGAAGAATGAATTAATATTATTTTTTCACTGAAGACAGAGTACCCTGTTTTTTCTCTCTGGTTCTCTGCACCCCTTAATATCAAGCAAGATCCTGTATTTTGTGTTTTACAATGTTTTGTTTCATTACTGGAAGTCAAAGTTTTAGTGAGTTTTGACCCTGACACACGCAGTCATTAAACACAGAAACAGGAACTTAAATTACAGTGAGTGAAAATAATGAGGTTAAGATCTGTAGCTTCAGAGAGAAGGTACTGTGTGACTTTGTTTTCTCTGCCCTCAGGTCAGGTATGACGTGTGGCGTCGGGTCCTGAAGACATTTTGGGCGGTGGTGGTCGGTTACTCCATGGTGGTGTTGATAGCCATCTACATGTACCAGTTCAGAAGTGTGTCTGGGCTGTTCAGACAGATCATGGGCATGTCAGAGGATGGGTGAGTGTGTGTGCGTGTGTGTGTGTGTGTTTTGGCCTAAGTTTTTGAATCTTTTTTTAGTTCATTTATTCATTCATTTAATGATGAATTTTCTCAGAACCATACAGCAGCCTGGGGCCCTCTCATCAGTTATCATTTCACTACCCTGTTTGACTTTACAGTCTTCGAGACATTGGTTTGGAACGGTACAACACAGTGGAGCTGTTTGCACGTATTCTGCTTCCTGCTGTGTTCCTTTTGGCTTGTATCCTCCAGCTGCACTACTTCAACTTGGACTTCCTGACTCTCACTGACCTCGACAATGTACCTGTCAGACAGGCTTCCAGGTAAGATGGCAAGAATATGTTCAGACAGGAAAAGAATGTCCTACTCAAATGGTGACTGTCAAGTCACTAAAGGACTGCAACTTTGAATTATTGTCATTTTCAATTAATCTGTCGATTGTTTCTCAATTATTCGATTAGTTGCTTGGTCTATAAAATGTCATCTGTGAAAATGCTGACCAGTGTTTCCCAAGGCCCAAGGACCTCAAATGTCTTGTTTCATCCACAACTTAAAGATATGCCGTTTACTGTCACAGTGGAGTAAAGAAGCCAGAAAATATTCACATTTAAGGAAATTCTGTATTTTTTTTCCCCTTAAGATATTACTCACACTGATAAATCGATTATCAAATTATTTTGGATTAATGGCAGTATTGCTTAACATATCTAGCAAGTATAAATAAAATCACAGTGACTTATAAAAAAGCACAAAATCACTGCAAAAGACTACAATGAGTGAGTTACATCTGATAATTATTAAACAGCTAATGTGGCAAACTGTCTCTGTAAATCAGAACAGTTTTTCTGACAGTTAAGTAAAGATTAATTACAGATCCTACTTCATTCTGTATAAATCAGTACCATTGCTGAACAGAAGTGTCATTCTTTCTTTGATGTTAAAACAAGCACTCATTGTTTCTGTATGTATTTTATGTAAGTTGCAGTTGACTGCTGAACATTTTGTTTATCTGTCTCATTTGTCTGTTTCACCCTTCTCTCCACCCAGAGAAGCAGAGCTCAAGAGTTCAGTCAATGTGATATCTGACACGTAAGAGACACGTAATTAAACATTATCTTAATTAGAGATGTGACGCAGAAATGATTATTGATTTGCAATGTCAGTAATACTCACTATGATGTTTACGTGTCTCTCTTTCATTTAATTCCCAGCATTAAAGAAAACATTGAAAAGTTCCAGAAAAGGTAAGGCTGTTGTTCAGCTCTTGATTTTGTTGATTGCAGATCAGCATTTATGTCTACAGAAACATACTATGTTATACTTATTTAGCATATAATTCATATTCATACATACTGTGTGTGTTAGTAGTGAGTGTGGTTTTCCAATAATTGTGTAAATATTTAAGATATATTCCTGTCGTTCTCCAGGCTTGTGAAGGAGCAAATGGGAAATGCGAAAAGTCAGGAGACTCTGGACAGCGTCGGACTACAAACCTCCTCCGAGAGAGGAGCTGATGAGCAGGAGGAGACAGCAGAGGAGGGTAACTACAGCTCAAGACCAGAAAATGGCTCTTCAGCCTTCTTTTGTTGGGTCAGTTAGGAGTGGGACAAATTATTGACATGGCATGATATGACAATGTGCCTTCTTATCAGAACATATATTTCCTACACTGTTAGTTTTCCCTCTTGGGTTATGCAGATATCGCAATGTATCATATTTGTCTTGGCATTAGTTGCTGGCAGAGCTTATGTCTGATATCCTGCTACCTTCTCTCCCTCCCAGAAACTGTCCCCAGCCCTCCTGAGGACAAGTGGGTTGTGATAGTGGACAGGGCAAGCCTGCTGCTCGTTCAGTTTCTGTCAGGACTCCACAGGCTGCAGGAGCTTAGCTGGAGGCTGCTGGAGCTCCACAGCCTCAAAATCGTGTCCTCCGGCATCATCTGGGTGTCACTGCAAGAGGTGGGATGATTGCACTGTTCTTGTGTGTGTGTGTGTGTGTGTGTGTGTGTGAAAAGGTGTAGGTATGTGTCTTTATACAAATTGCAGAAAACACAAAGAACAATCCGATGTTGATTTACTCTGTGCTGGTTTTAAGGTTATAAAAATGGTTTATTTAACTTCATCTACACCTTTCCTTCGTGCCAGAAGTGGAGGTAAAATTAACCAACAAAATGTAGAAATTTTAGCCTTCAGTACCTTTGTTGCTTTGCTCAGATCAAATGAGGTATCATATGCTCATCCGTGTAATTCAGAAAAAAGTGAAAGGTTGTGATTTTTCACAGGTGTCTCTGATGAACTTGCTCTTCCTGGTTCTGTGGGTGTTTGCACTCCCGTTCCCACGGTTACGACCAGCGGCATCCAGCATCTCTGCTGTGTGGGCCTGCGTCATGGTGGTGTGCAAGATGTTTTACCAGCTCAAAGTCATCAAACCGCTCGATTACTCCTCCAACTGCACAGCTGTGAGTGTCCATAACTGTGTGTTTGTAACAGTTATCTAAAATGTACATAATGCTCTGTCAGCAGGCTGTGCAGCTGGATCACCTGTCAGTGGGCTTTGACGTTGTTTGTCTCTCAGGGTCTGGTGCCATCCAACAGCTCGGGCTTGGATGATGGAACAGAGCTGAGGGGGAACCTGATGGAGCTGCTCAAGAGGTCTATTCTCTACATCGAGCCTGTAGACCCCATCTACTGGTGTGGAGCACTGCGTAAATGTGAGGGCAGGATCCTCCCCTGTCTCAGGGTATGGTGACACAGCTGCCAAAGTCTTAAAACTTTATATCTGTGACATTTCTTTTAAATCAAAACCATGACACAAAGCTGCTTTTACATTCCCTTATATAAGATACACCCAACCAGGTTTATGCTCTAGCGCAGTGGTTCCCTACTGGTGGGTCTTGGGTCCATTCTGAATGGACCGCAAGTGACTCAAAACTTGTCAAGTTTGTAAAAAACACACTTTATTTTGAAGTACAATGAATTTCTGGCACAGAGCTTTCATTTTGATGTGCCATTTCCTGCTTTAGATTGAGTGACTATCAGACAGCTACTCGACAGAGACAGCAAATTTGCTCGATGACATGGCCAAACGAAAGTATGAGGCTGAATGTATTAAACTGTGTGGACCTTGAACTAATAACTAAGGAAAAATCTGGACCCCGTGGCTGGACCAGTTGGGAACCACTGCTCTAACGCACTCTGCCATGCATTTACTGTAGGTAAAACTGTAAATCCTTTGATTAGTTTTTTGTAAGAAGGCAAAGTAAGCTCTTTGTTATGAATCTTAATGAGATGAAGACAGAGGACCAGGACAAAACAATAAAAGGGTAACTCTGGTTGTCTTGATGTGTCCAGGGCCAAGTCATGCCTTGTGAGATTTCAGAACGAGTGACGTTTTTGAGTGACACTTAGACAAGATAACAAACAGACCAGATCAAGCAAAATGTAAAGAGACACTTTAAATAACAATTTGAGCCTGTGGCCAAAATAATCCCTCTTAATGGAGATACAGTGATGGTGCACATTTGCCCCATTCACATAGATTTGGTTGCATTGTGGGCGTTATGGGGTTGACACCAGCTGCCCTCTCTATTGGCATTGGACAAGTTTCAAAAACAGTTGTTCATGTCAGTCACTTAAACACAAAAAACATGGGAAAATAGGGTTCAGGTTGAAAAATGTCTAAGTTATTAAACTGAACTCTAGTTTTAATTTAAGAGACACAGATCGAGTTTGAATTGGTTGAAAATCATCCCACAGTTGGACCAATGGATTGTGTCCCAGGTCAGTTGTTCTCTAAAAAGTGTTGTTCTATGGTGTAGAACCATCTGATGGTGCTCGGACTGCTGGTGTTTGAGGCTACCGTCCATCGGCACCAGCTCTACTTCCGTCTCCATAACGACCTGAAAACCCCGCCCTTCAGTATTATCTTCCAGGGCATCACGAGACAGCACCTGGACCATGGGGTCCTGCCCTGCATCAAGTACTTCATCAACTTCTGCTTCTACAAGTTTGGACTGGAGGTACTTCTTAGGGGCTGAAGTGTGTTTGTCTTTGTGCCTGAACTGTTTAAAGTATTTGATATGACTTCTTAACATACAACACTTCTGCTTAGATCAGTTTAATCGTGGCAGTCAACGTGATTGGTCAGAGGATGGATTTCTATGCTCTGCTACATTCCTGCGCCTTATTGGCTGTTCTGTCACGGCGACGCAGGAAGGCCATTGGGGAGGTGTGGCCTAAATACTGCTGCTTCACTGCAGGGCTCATGGTGCTGCAGTACCTGCTCTGCATTGGCATCCCCCCTGCCATCTGTGTTGGTATGGACATTCTAATAATTATGTGACTTTTGTAGAAGTAAACTTTTGATATAAATATGCATTGTTTAAATTCAGCTCCTGAAAACTATAACATTTGCTGTTTTTAACACTTGGGACCAAATGCATAAAACTCTTTTCACAATAAAACTGTGTGTATGCACAAAGACAGACATTTGCATGCACACTCTTTCATCAAATTTATAAAAACACATCTACGCCTGATTCTGTTTTCTAAATCCCAATCATTGTAAAGCACATGCACAAGCCTCATTTCCACTCCCACAGATAGCTATGAATGGATATAGAAACGCCTGGAAACACCTGTTTGGATATTGATAGTTGTGCCTCCTCCACCTCTCCTTGAGTGTTAGTCAATGAGAAATATGGCGAAGAAATTACAATTCAGCTTTGGCTCCAGCACCTTGCTGATTTGACAGGTGCCTGAGCAGCTGTCATTACGCATGACTTTGGCTATTTGTAACATCCACACCACTAACTCATTACATGTTTCTGCAGACCATAATTGCAGTTAGACCTCAGTCGTCTTTATTATTAAATGTCAGAAGGATGATCAATATCATTCAAAGTGGTCATGCTAAAAGTGACTCTACAAGTGCTTCATAATTTAGGACTAAATGAAGACATTAACACGGGGAGATAATAACTCAACTGTAAATAAATGAAAAGAAAGATGAAATCCATCACTCATAAATAACTTAAAGAGGACCTATTCTGTCATTTTCAATCCCATACCTGTATTTTGGGTTTCTGCGAGAACATGTTCACATGCTTTAAAATACTGTCTGTGCTGGAACACCTGTACTCACCCTCTGTCTCAGATGCTCAGACTTTAACGCCTGTGTCTTTGAACCCCTTTCTCCATAAAAAGCCTAGTCTGCTCTGATTGGTCAGCGTTTCCGGGCCTTTCACATCTCTGCATCTCTGCACCGTTATTGCAGCATAACAGTACTTTACATGGTGAAAAAATTTCAATGAAAGCTTCTTAATACAACCCCATATGTTATAGCAGGAACATGATCAGAAATCAGGGGAAATTTAACAACACTGGCAACCAAGATTACATGTTTCCTTGACATTAGCATGTAGCTACATGTAGCAGTGTATGTAATGTAAACACCTGCTATAACATGCCTGGAACAGATGACCATATAAAGATCATGAGCTGATGTCAACTTGTCCCGAACATATAAAATAAGTTGGAAAAGTTGGTCATAGGCTTTTGCTTGACATACATTTACCTCATCATTTTGAAATTTTGGCCAGGTTTAATATGAACATCTGCCATTGCCACATTATATATACATATATATATATGACAGAAAATATGGAAAAATAAAAATGTGTGCCCTTTAAAAGGATGTTTATAAATTTGCCTTTGATTGACATTTTACAGAACGCCTTGGAGCCAGCAGAAATACTGTATTAACACAATCAGTGAAACTGGCAAACAACCATAGAAGAGTGACACTTACAGAAAGTTTCAACTCAAACAGAATATCAAAGGAAGAAGAGGCAATAGCACCATGTACACTGTCGATTAATGCTACGTTCTATGAGTGATAAAGAATTTCAATGCAAAAACAATGCAGAACATCAAAGCAAAGAACACCTAGCTTGAAATATCATTGATTCATTTGTCAATCATTTGTTTTTCAAAATCAATCAATGGTTTAGTCAGTAAAATAATATCAAACTAGTTAATTGTCAACTAATTTCACACAACATCAATATTAAAATTGTTACTGTTTGCAAAAGTTCTGCATGTAATTTTGATTCTATTCTACTTTATTCTGTTTTATTATCAGATTACCCCTGGAGAACCGCAGCTCAACCTTTGACCTCTAATGTTATTAAGTGGTTTTACCTGCCTGACTTCGCCATGAGCCCCAATCCATCTTTTATATTCTGTGAGTTTATTTTAAGTCTCTCTCCTGACTTAGAATCTATTCCTCATTTATGATTCCTCATGTCAGAATTTGACCTTCTCCTCTCTCTGCTGCTCTCTGCAGATGACCACCTCCTGTTGCTCTGCTCGTCTCTTCAGTGGCAGGTGTTTGAGGAGGAGAACCGAGCAGCGGTGCGACTGCTGGCTGGAGACAATGTTGAGATCAGCCGTAGTCTGGATCCTTGTTCCTTCAACCAGTTCATACCTGTCGATAACTTCCTCCACTGCAGGTCAGAAACATCAACCAGGTCTTTTTTTATTGTGTTCTCAGAGTCTTGGTTCTGCTTCCATTATCTATACTGTCCGAAATATGAGTCATTTAATTGATGTTTGATTTATTTGACTAACTCAGGTCTAAATTTATAGACCCGAGATAAGAACAGGAAATAACCTGAACTCCATATAATCAGGCACTTACATAATCTCTTCAAGCTGCTTCCTGCTCTGTAGGTTAAACTGCAGGTGGAGAATATTTTGAGTCCATCACGCTGGTTTGTGGTCGTTTTAAAAGCATTAAGGGGTTCAGTTAGATCATTAATTTATGTGTCTTGTCAAAGTCATGAAAGCTGTTATGGTAAACTGAAACTGCTGGATAAGCACTCATGAACGTCTCCCATTTCCATGATAGACTAGTGCCTTCATTTATGGACTTTGTTTTATTTCTGCTGCGTGCCATCATCACATTTTCCATCTTGCTGTTGACAGAATATATTTTACTGGAAAACCTCAATCAAAGCCATAACTTGGCGTCAGTTAAACGCATGGACAATGTGAAGATGCTGTGTTGTTGTAAAAGAGAAACTAGTTTATTGGCTCATGAAGTTGATATTAGAAGTGGACAGTTGATTGTATTTCATCTGCGAATTAATGTCTCATTTTAAAGTCTTGTTGATAAATGTGATATGGTATTTTGCAATTTTTCTTATTGAAATAATGAATGAACAATCTAATAACAATCATAACTAATGCTGAAACAATTAGTCAATGGGTGAGTCAACTGACTGGACATTAATAAGCAGTTTGATAATATGTATATATTTTATTAATCAGGTATTTTTTTCTATTTTTCAAATGTTCAATATTATTTAAAAATGACCATTTTTTGTTTTGTTTTGTAACTTGAATGCCTCTTGGTTTAAAACTTGCTGTGTCAATTTTTTGTATGTTTTTATGTTCTATTGAGTTACCAAATAAACAATTAATTGAAAGAAACCTAGAGACTGATTGACAACAAAATATACAGTATATACAGTATATACAATACAATATAAATATATACAATACAAGTGTGGAAAGAACAGTTTGATATTTTTGGAAATACCCTTCTTGGCTTCTGTCCCAAGATTTAGATGATAAGTTTGATACCACTGTCATGTCTGTATGCTAAATATAATAAGCAACAGCCAGGAGATGCTTAGCTTAGCTCAGCCTAGCTTAGCTTGGCTTAGCATAAAGACTGGAAACAGAAGGAAACAGCTAGCATGACAGGTTGGTGTTTGATAAGAAATAATTACAGTAACTTGTAAAACCAGGTTTGTAGGAGGAACCCTGAAAAAACCCAGGTTGAAATGGGGAGAACATGAAAACAGCCAAAATTGTAAACAAAATTTGCTGTTTCCTGTATGTTCTGTTTCTATGCTAAGCTAAGCTAATTGGTGGCTGATGGTACAGTTGTTGGCTGAACAGACAAACAGATCCTCTCACTGAACTGTTGGCAAGAAAAGCAAATAAACTAATTTCCCAAAATGTCAAACTATTCCTTAAAAACAAATTCTGCGATTTTAGGCAGTATTATGTGTCTTTTTAGAGTATCTTTGTTAGAGAATAGGTAGATACCTTAATCTCTGGGCTTTTTTAAACTGCTTATTCTCAGCATCTGTCTCTCTCTCTCTCCGTCTGGTCTTCAGGTGCTACCTCGACATGGTGAAGGTGTTTGTTTTCAGCTATTTCTTCTGGCTTGTGCTGTGCCTCATCTTCATCACGGGCACCACGCGGATCAACATCTTCTGTCTGGGCTACCTGGTGGCCTGTTTCTACTTCATGTTGTTTGGAGGCAGCGTGTTGATGCAGCCTGTCAGGTACATCCTGCGGCTGTGGGACTGGCTGATTGGATACACCTGCTTTGTGATCGCCATGAAGAACCTGCTGTCTGTGAGTTACCTCACATTGAACACACTCAGTAGTTAAGGCACCCATCACTTAATGTCTTTTTTTTATCAGGCTCTATACTGTCAGTTACAGCCTCTGTCTTCCTTACATGTGTTTTTTGTGATCAGCTCGGTTCCTGTGCCTACCTGGACAGTTTGTTGAAGAACGGCTGCTGGTTAATTCAGGCCTTCAGCATGTTCTGCACCATCAAAGGCTATGACGTTCGTAAGTGTAACAGATGATGATAAAGGACATCCTAAAATCACATTTGGTTGATACTGATACTAACACAAAGCTTAGTGTTAGAGTTAAGTCTAAGTTAGAAATCTTGAGGAGATGCAGAAAGAGGGACTGAGACCCTCTAGTTTTGTCAAAGTTACCATTGAATTATTAAAATTACATATATTTTCCCCATCCTGTCAGCTGCTCCTGACGATGAGTGCGAGCTGCCGGAGGGTGAGGCCGGCATCGTCTGGGATGCGATCTGTTTCACCGTCCTCCTGGCACAGAGGAGGGTCTTCCTCAGCTACTATTTCCTCTACGTGGTGTCTGAACTGAAGTCTTCTAAGATACTGGCCTCCAGGTCTGTCCTCCACACAAACCTCCTGTTTAGGTTCCTTCACATATTTAAAACAGCAGCAAGTGAACTTTACAGTGAGGGTGAGGAGGCACAAATGAAGGGGAAAATTGAAACTTGAATTTTGTTTGAAGAATTAAAGCCAACCTAACTTAATTTTATGAAGGGGAACCAAAGGGACATGGAATGCAAAAGAGTCAACTTACTTTGGATGAAGCAGCACTCACAGCTGTTGAGAGGAAGTGTCTGTAATGTAATTTTATTGGTAATTAGTTAAAATGTCCCACTCATTATGAAAAGCTTCCAGAAAAATGTATTCCTAGTTATAAGGTCATAAGGAAAACAGTGATTCCCTGGACAAAGAAGCACCATTTAAACCTAAGTATTCATTATCAGTTTACTATTTGAAACTACACTCCATGCATTATTAATTGTTACAGATTTTGGCATGTTTACCTGACCTGCTGTGAACTAAAGAAAAGACTCTCTAGGTTATGCTGGCAATTAGTTGGAAATAACTATTAATTTTTACAGGGCATCAGACAGGAAGAAAAAAAACACAAACAGCAGTGATGAAATAAACAGATGGTACCCACAACAATGCTCTTTCCTCTACCTCTCTCCACCTCTAAGGGGCGCTGAGCTGTTTGAAGCCAAAGTGAAGAAGCAGATAGCAGCCAGGCTGGAGATGGAGCAGAAATCTGTGGAGACACTGAAGAAACAGTAAGACACATGAAACTGTGTAGAGTCAGTGTAAATTACATTTACAACTCAGCTGTTCTGACTGTGAATAAATGAGTGAATGAATGACCCAAATTCAAAGATGACGAGCAGACTTCCCCCTCTCAATCTCCAATTTTATCACCTCTGGACACAAGTTAACTGTGAGCAGCTAACTTGTCTTTCCACTCTCTTCCTGTAGGATGGAGAAGATCAAGTCGAAACAGAAGGGTGGACCTGCAGCAGCGAAACAAGCTCTTCCTGCTGATCAGGAGCAGGTGACACTGGGTAACATAAGTGAATTTATTTTCTGTTCCTACTGTTAATAAACCAGCAAAGCACGAGAAGACATTCACAATTTTATAGGCACCGTCCATGAAAAAATATTATAACACACACACATATATATATATATATATTATCTGTTTTCAAAGCTCCAGTGCTTGTTTTTAGCTCTCTGTATATTTGAGACAAAACTGAAGCGCTTGTCTGTATGATGACAGATAATTTTGTGTCAGCATGGCATGTTTTATAATATACTTATAAACGTGAACTTTATCAAACTCTTTTCAGCAAATATCTGCAATAACTAAACCACTTGATCTGTGTTTTCCAGATGACGATGAGGAGGCAAAGAGAGATGCTGGAAAGTGGTGGAAGCCTTGGGTGTCTCAGCCTGGAGGTGAGCAGCAGCATCACACAGCCTAAACATTGCTCAGTGTTCTCAGAGCGATGCACAAATGGTTAAACAAAGAAAGCATGGTGACGGGAAAGACTGGAGAATACTCTGCTGTCTCATTTCATTTCCTCACTTTAGTCCTTCCTGTCAGAGAGACGTTAAAACAGTAAATACAGCCACTGAGCAGCTGTACTGGAGCATGTTTAGATGAGATGTCTCGTTCTAAAGCTCAAGAGTTTGTATGTGTGGTGATGTAGTTTTGACACTGCTCTTTTACGCAGTGGAAAACAACTGTGGCTACCACCTGTTTGAGAGCGACAGCGAGGAGGAAGAGGAGGAAGTGACAGAGAAGAAAGAAGAGGAACCGCCACCGAAGAAGAAATCTGCTTTCCAGGTGAGAGCCAGACAAACACTTGGATCAAAAAACTGATGACAAATGGGAAGAATACATTTAATGATTCTGTTATTATGCTCGAGGATCATACTTAAAGTGAACACTGACAGATTAATATTCGTACATCAGATGTCGCTTTACTGTTGCATGCATCATCGCTTACGACGTGTATCTGTGTCTCTGGTATCCCAGTTGGCATATGACGCCTGGGTCACCAGCTCTAGGTCAGCTCTAAAGGACCTGAAGAAGGAGAAGACAAAAAGAAAGAAAGAAGAGAAGAAGAAAGCAAAGAAAGAGCTGCAGAGACAGGAGGGTGAGAGAGCGGATGGAGTGGCTACAACTGATTTGACTGACTAATTTGAACACTTAGGGACTATTCTGAGACTGAAAGGTCCCGGGTTTGATAGAGGATCATTAAATTCCTTCTGCGGAGCAGATAGAATTCTATAAGATAGAATATCTTGTTTTTAAAAGTTTCTCCTGGTCTAAGTGTCCCAAAATAGAAAGGGCCATTAATTAGGACTTAGGATATTTCTCACTGTGTAAAGGAGGACATGTTGGCGCCCAAGGAAAAGTCTGGCCAGATTTTCTGTTTGGCAACTTGCTGTTCACCAAACCTTTAAAGGGATATTTTGTCCTGTTCACGGAGCTTGAGGACAAAATATCAATTACTTAACAATAAAATTTTCTTTCTTCCAGGCATCGACAGAGCAGACTCTAGTGAGGATGAACTGGAGGAAAGCACTGTGGAGGAAGAGGTAGAGGAGGAAAAAGGTAAGGTACATGAGTCAATGCATTACACTCAGAGCAAACAACTTTGTGTGAGTGAAAGAAATATTTTACTAAGTGACTTTTTATTTGCGATTACTGCGGAAAACCTTTAATATATCGAAGTATTCATACTCATGCACTTGTCTCCTTGCAGAAAACATTTTGCAGCGCGTCATAAGCACATTAAAGTTCAGCTGGGTGTTTGTTCAGTCTCTTCTTGATGACCTGACAGAGGGTCTGAACTCATTCTGTAAAGACAGTCTGGACATTTCCAAGGTGCTGCGCTTCGAACGTGCCTTACTCAGCCAACAGCAGAAGAAGGTGAGAGGAAAGGATGTGAAACTGAGAATTTAAGACATGTCTGGATTTTAGCCTCAAGGTGAGGCACAAATAAAAATTTAATCCTCCAATGTGGAAAAAAATAATTCAACCCCAACTAACATTTTTATATGATTAAGACTTTATGTAATTTAAGTGATAAACTGATATCAGCTAATTTGTAGAAATTGCTAGAAGTTACAGTACTATTTTCCTTAGTGGCAAAAGTCACAGTGTGTTTTCTTGTTTCATCCTGGTGAACTCTAAATATCTAGCCATTTACACATTTTTCTTTGAACACCAGTACTTTTTTCTTTGAAACTTTTTTAACTTTGAATTTTTCGCCTGTTATCTGTCATGCAAAAAGATTAAATAACAAATATTATTTAATTAAAGAAAAGATCACATTTAGGCATGTACTATCGATACTATTTACTATACTTTCTTGATCTGTCTTTTCATATCTTACATTAACATTTACATTAAAATGTGCTCTATTTACAAAATACTTTTGTATATCTAAAGGGAGCGCCCTTACCTTGAATGCTCTTCTGTAGTAAGTCTAAGATTCTTATTATCTACTTAGAACAATACACGCTGCCAGTAGGTTCAATTAAACTTCCCAAAGCCACTATCAGTCAAGTCCTACTACTTATATCACAGTAAACAATATAGTGTAAACAAAAAACCAACAGTTAGTACAGCATATACTTCCCACACACATTATATTTTGGGTCGACTACACTTTTTCACTTCCTCATTCTACAGGGTAAAGAGGTGAGCCAGGAGAGCGTGAAGCAGTTTTATGAAAACTGGATATCCCGCCAGAACACGCTTTCATCTCAAGATGACCTAAATGACTCCCTGCCTCCACCCTCTTCCCCGCCCGATGTCCCCTCCTCGCCCCACGCCTATTCCAAGCTGAAGAACCAAGCCTCCAAAGTGTCCTGGGGCAGCAGCTTTTCCAGGCAGGTTACTGGAGTCTGTCACATACTTACCCCTTTTGTGTTTTATTCTCTTTCCTGCTTCTACTGTATATCCTCTGTAATGTGTGCATACATGTACTGTTGGCATATTAAAGGTGTGAATAACATTATAGCAATACATTGACCCTCTTTAAGACCCTGCACACTCATCTGCTCTCTCTCTCCTCCTCCTCACCTTCAGCTGTATGACAGATGAAACGATGCTCGTCTCCCGGCAGCCGACCCAGGAAGAGCTGGACGAGCCTCCCGCTGTGTCGCCTGTCGCTGACCAGCTCAGACGGAGGCTCCTCAAAACAGCCAACATCGACCTGACCTCCTTTGAGACTGTTGACCTTTCACCGAGGTGAGGACGGAGAAATATTTGTGCACGTATGTAAATTAGATGTAAATATTCATCAATGGTAAATCTAGAATTCCATCAACTCTTAATAACTTTGCATAATCATCTGCCCCAAAGATTTCCTTTGATTCTTAAAGTTGAAATGTCCCTGTCTCAATCCTTGCCTTAAAAGTGGTGAAGATGGTGCCCTTCAAAAGGAAGACTATGAACAAAAAGAGGATGAGGAGGAGGACATGGAGGGTGAGATGAAACATGAGCAAGAACAGGAAGAGACAGAGGAAAAGGAGGAAGAGGAACAACAAAAGGAGGATCGTGGGGTGGAGATAGAAGAGTTGAATGAGGAAGAGCAGCACAGAGATGAAGATGAATGTGCTGATTACCCAGAATGCACCTCGTTGGGCTTCAGGGAGAGTGATGAAGAGAAAAGCCATGACCTTGCAGTATCTCCCAGACCTCTGAGTCAGGAAACGAGGGCCCTCACAGCCAGTGAGCTGCTGCTTAACAAGTCAGTACACACAAGAAACACGTGAATTAGAACATTTTTTATCTTATGAAAGAGAGACACAAGCTGTTGTGTGTGACATTCTTATTATTATATTTGTCTTTTCTTCCCCTCCCTCCATCTTCTTCATAGTATGTTTGAAAACGTGGAGATCTCAGAGTCTGATAAGTTTTTCTTGACGATACCGAGGCCACTGAAGCTGCTGTTTGCCCTCTATAACACCATGGTGTCCAAATCAGAGATGCTGTGCTACTTTGTCATCATCCTCAACCACATCGTGACGGCTTCACTCCTCTCCCTCATCCTGCCTATCCTCATCTTCCTCTGGGCCATGCTGTCTGTGCCCCGGCCGACCAAACGCTTCTGGATGACCGCCATAATCTACACAGAGGTAATCTTCGAATGTTAGGGGTTTTCATTGCAGTATTAATATTAATTTTAGAATAAAAAGCCACTAGGGCTGCAATCAGTTTTATGTTTAATAAATAATTCATTGATTGTTGTAGTAGAATACTTAAAATGCTCAGATTAAAAATGGCAGACAAATTCAAAATTAAACAATAGGTCATTTATTTTACGCTGTATTTCAAAGGTACTGGCAATTCTGTGGATCTTATATATATTTTTTGACAGCTAATGTTGTTTTTGTGCTCATATTTTTCATAATGACGCACCACTCAAATGTGGTCAACTCAGTAAGATACAGTGGCTCTTTATTGATTTTAATGTAATTATTGAGACAGTGTAAATGTGTGGTGTTTTTGAGGCATTATGAGGTGACATCTGATGTTATTTTGTTTGCAAACTAAACCAAAGTGTTTATTACTCTTCAGATAAAAACAGATATGATGATAAAAAATGTATGACCTCTTAAAATCAGGCAGTAGGCACTGATGCCAAGGGTTTTCTCAGAAATTCTGACACTGATGGATTGTATTTGAGTCTAATATGTTCATATAATAGTGATGGATGGTGCTCCATAGAGATTTAAACAGACTGAAGTCTGTTTACAGGTTTGTTGGAGTGCTGCTAGATATGTGTAGTATAAAGCTTTTTGTGGCTTCAGAGGGAGCTGAGTTAAGTCTGATAAACTGCTTCAAGTGATGTCACTTGGGTCAGCACCAGTTGTGTCTACTACAAGTTAGAAAAATTGAAAAAAATCTGATGATGTGAAGTTAGAAAGAATTAACCAGATCTTTGTAGCTCCCTCTCCATTTTTTCTTGAGGCTAGCAGCTCTACATTAGCTGCAACTAGCATAACACACCCAAAAATTCAGACAAACTGTTGGCGCCAGGTTTTTATGCCTCTGCATCTGTGATAGCTGTGGCCCAAGGCATTATGTTTTTGAGTTGTCCATTCGTGCCATTTTTGTGAACATGATACCTCAAGAACGCCTTGAGGGAGTTTCCTTAATTTGGCACAAACGTCCACTTGGACTGAAGAATGAATTGATATGATTTTGGTGGTCAAATGTCGCTGTAACCTTACAAAACATGTTTTTGGCCATAACTCAAGAAATCATGTGCTTATTATGACAAAATTTCACACAAATGTCTAGTAGGATAAGATGATGAAGTGCTGACATTATATATTAAAAAGGTCAAAGGTCAGCTTCACTGTGACATTGTAATGTTTTGCAAAAACACTTTTCTGGCCATTATTCAGCGTCCTAACTCAGGAACAGAAGGGGAGACATTTGGTCAGATACTGAATTGGTGACACTAATCTTGGGTGTCCACCTTTAAACTGTGCTGATTGTTTAGATCTTCTGTGCTGCCTTGTTGACAATGTGTGTGAAGCATCCATGTTTTCACAGATGTAAATGTGAATGGTTGGTGCGCAAAGACATATAAACATGGAGCAGTAACTCTAGTTTTGGAGAACATTATCCAGTGTTTATCATTTGCTGACTAATGTGGTGTTTTATCTATTGTTTCTACTGGTGCATGATCCATAACTTTTCTCTTTTTCTCTCAGCTGACAGTTGTGGTGAAGTACTTCTTCCAGTTTGGTTTCTTCCCCTGGACCACCTCTGCCTACCGAGGCATCAACGCAGACCGGCCCTTTGCCCTGCCCAACATCATCGGGGTGGAGAAGAAAGATGGCTACGTCCTTTTTGACCTCATTCAGCTTCTCGCTCTGTTCTTCCACAGGTCTATTCTCAAGGTAACCATGAAAAATTACCTTTAAAGTCAAATACCTATTCAAATATACCCTCCTGCCGCTGTATGTCTTGTATGAGACCACTGTTGTTGCCATGCAGCCAGTTTTGCATGTTTAAAATTCTGTTTGTGTCTACAATGCGCAGTGCCACGGGCTGTGGGACAACAAAGAGGTTGAGATGCCTGATTTTTTCAAGAAGATGAAGAAGAAGGTGGACAAGAAGAAGATGACAGGAGGAGATAAGACAGGCAGCAAAGACAAAACTCAGCGCCGGTTGAAGTTCCTTCCTCTCCAGGCCTCCACCACCTCCATATTCTGTAGACAAAAAAAAAGCGACTCAGCAGACTCTATTGGTGAATATTCAGAAAACCTTTAGATATTTTGATCCATATCTTACCAGTTTAGGTAAATCCACTGTGACATTTCTACTTTTCCTTTTTTTCTGTTGTCTTTTTGGTCACTAATAGTTGTTGTATGGCATTAATACCCACATGTGACTAATATTTCACGTTTGTTTTATTTTACTGGAGAGGGGAAGCCGAAAAAGCAGAGCAGCAAGAGGAAGAGACGGCAACGAAACAAGGTTCCACTGACCAGGAAGCAGAGGATCAGACAGCAGATCAAAGAGAGGATGCTACAGGCTAAAGCTGCCGTCATAGAAGTGTGCGTTGTTGCAGACAAATTACATGACATTAACACTATATTGCTAATTCTGAAGTGTGTTCTGACGCTGTAAATTCTCTTTTTCCTACAGCGCCCTTCACATTTACTTACCCATCAGACAGTTTTTCTATGACATCATCCACCCAGACTACAGTCCTGTGTGTGATGTCTACGCCCTTATGTTTCTCATCGACGTAGTCAACTTCATCGTCACCATATATGGATACTGGGCTTTTGGGGTAAACGTCTGCCTTGTCTCTCGACAAAACATTAATATACACACTTAAAATGCATTTTATTTACAGTACGACACAATCGAGCTAATCTCTGTCTCTCTGTAGAAATATTCCGCAGCAGTAGACATCACAGAGTCTCTGTCGGAGGACCAGGTTCCAGAGGCCTTCCTGGTCATGCTGCTCATGCAGTTCGGCACCATGATAGTGGACCGGGCCCTCTACCTGAAGAAGTCCCTGCTGGGAAAGTGTGTTTTCCAGGTGGTGCTGGTGTTCGGCATACACTTCTGGATGTTCTTCATCCTCCCCGGGGTCACAGAGAGGTCATCAAATGAGTTTATTACTCTCCTTATTTCTTCATCCAATAGTTGAATTAAATTATTATTATTAATATTGTCTTTTTTGGAATGACAGCAAAATCCAGAATATTTTGTGCTTGTCACTAAGATGGAGCTCTTATTTACAAGTTTGCAGTGTCATGAAACTATGAATGAAATTATTCATTTACAAATAGTGTATAAAATACAATGGCACTCAGACTTCACTGCTCCCTTCTGAGACAGGCTTTATAAAACCAATGATAGAAAAGTGACTGTAGAAAATTATTTCCAAGAGTAACATAAAAAAGAAAGAACACTCTGGGCAAAAACCGATGAAACATTAACAAAGCGCACGTTGAGAGTGCTTGCTCATCATGTGTTTTTTGCTCCACAGGAGGTTTAACAGGAACCCTGTTGCTCAGCTCTGGTACTTTGTAAAGTGTATCTACTTCGGTCTGTCTGCCTACCAGATCAAATGTGGCTACCCAAACCGCATCCTGGGCAACTTCCTCACTAAGAACTACAACTATGTGAACCTTTTCCTTTTTCAAGGGTAAGAAAAGCAGTCACTGACTCTAATAAATAAAAATATCTCCATTAACAACAGTTAGTGATTGTAACTTCATTGAATTAGAGTTTTCCTAAAAAACATTCTCCTCTGGTCTCCTCCTCCAGGTTTCGTTTGGTTCCCTTCCTGACAGAGTTGAGGGCGGTGATGGATTGGGTTTGGACTGACACCACTCTGTCTCTCTCCAGCTGGATTTGTGTTGAAGACATCTATGCAAACATTTTCATCCTCAAGTGCTGGAGGGAGTCCGAGAAAGTAATTTAAAGCGAGTGTAGTACACATAATGCTCGCTGCACTATTACTATAGGACCACTCACTCAAAGTTACATTTAAATACCCAGTGGATTTTTGCTGGCTCTCAGGCTGTAGCTGGAACTATAGATTGTACTTCAGCATTTTTGTATGCCTGCCACCACGGACACAAAGAGTATAGAAGCAAATAGAGAGACCTGCCCCTCTCTGTCTCTGTGTCTCTGTGTACTGCATTGCCCATTTCTCATTTTCAGAAGCATATTTCTGCTTATGTATCATGTAAAAATAAATGTATTTTGGTCAGAGCTTCTAAAATTAGAGGAGGTATCAATTAAATACATTTTAATTTATGACTGCAATTTGAAGGCATCAGTCTGACAAGTTGTGCAGAACATTTTGTCTTTTAAACATTTAAATATCGTAGACTGAGAACTACAGTAACGTAATTGTAACTCTTTCAGAAATACCCCCACCCTCCAGGGCAGAAGAAGAAAAAGGTGGTGAAATACGGGATGGGAGGATTCATCATCTTCGCTCTCATCAGCATCATCTGGTTCCCGCTCCTCTTCATGTCACTGGTCCAGTCAGCAGCCGGAGTGACCAATCAGCCGGTGGAAGTCTCCATCCAGCTCAGTATCGCAGGATATGAGGTCAGGATGTAAATGAGTACATTAAACTGTGTGCTGACTTTCAACTTTTAATGTTTGTGTGCTCATATTCTAAGCACTACTTTTGGCTGTATGATGGTGCTAGTTTCATGATAATCCATCCAACATTTCACTCAAAACAGCAAATATGATCTTCATGGTGGTACTAGATAGAGTCAGAGGTTTACCAGAGTTAGAGGGCTTTATCCTCTGGGGACCATGACAGTGTGTACAAAATTGCATCACAATCCATCTCGCGGTTTTCAAGATGTTTCAGTCAAGACCAAAGGAGCAGGCCAACATAACGTCCCTAGAGCCTCGGCAACCACTCCCCTGCAGCACAGTCACAGTTTACATCAGTGATTAAGATTTTACTCGCCTAACTGTGTCATTCAGGCGCTAGTCATTGGTCACCTCTAGTGTGTGTATGTTTTACTCATAAGCGTGTTTGATTGTGTCTCTACAGCCTCTGTTCACCATGAGCGCCCAGGAGCAGAATTTGGTTCCGTACACAGAAGCTGGATTCAACCGACTCACCAAAATCTATGCAACCCATCCTGTAAGATGTTACTGTAAACACTAAACTGAGACCACCAGCAGTGGGACAATAATTAATGAAATTGCACTTCTTATTCTCTGTGTCCTCCTATAGATGTATATACACTGCTGTGGGTAGTTTTTTTCTTTCTTTTATCTGTATATGGGTTTTATTGGTTTTTATGAGAATATTTGTATTTTGTTTGCTTTTAATAACAGGGTAGCGTATCTATTAATTGTGTTTGGACACCAGGAAGTTCAAGTGTTTTCCCAATATAGGTATTCTGTACTTTAATGTAAATGTCAGGAGAAGGGCTTAACGTAAAATAATACATATAGAGGTGATTGTTTTGGGGCCTCCTTGTGGACAAATGGTTAAAATGCATAGTCGAGGCGAGTATGTGAAGCACCTTTCAACAACAAGGCAGTTCAAAGAGTTTTACATAAAATGTAAGAGTCAGTGAGAAAAGAAACAAAGGGTAATATGAAGGACATATAAATAAAGAGATGAGGATTGAATTCATTTCAGAACACGATGGTGGCATTTATTGAATTGCCAGAAGACAGAGTAGTTGTGCGCACATCCAATCCTGCTTTAGGTCAGGTGCTGGATAATAGGGGTCCATGCAGAAAGAAGAGGAAAATCCGCACACTGAATTAGAGCTCCTAGTAGGTTTTAATGACTAAAAAAGCAACGTTTCGACCCAAATGGTCTTCCTCAGGCAACTTCAAAAGAATGAAATGGCAGGTGGCAGGTATACATATAGGCTAAGAGCCAGGTGTCATCCCACCCACATCATCTGTCAATCCAACAATCAGACAGTCGTTCAAGTAAGCCATATATAGGCATATGATGGCTACTTAGTATGCACAAAGGATTTGCATATCAATAAGTGCAAAGAATACAGATATACAAAATAAACAAATTGTTATTGGGGAACACATAAAACAAAAGAGACAACTTTACTATTAGACAAGAAACTTTTTAGAATATTTCAGTAAATATTTTAAGATTTTTTATAATTTTGTAGAAAGAAACAAAACAAACAAACGTGGGATTGCAGTTTTAAAAAAGAATACAGTTTTAAACAGGAACTGGTATTTGGTGTTGTTTTTCTCCAAGCAGATTTTCCTCTTCTTTCGGCATTTATTGAATTAACTGCATAAATCTGATCCCTCTCTCTCTCTCTCTCTCTCTCTCTCTCTCTCTCTCTCTCTCTCTCTCTACCAGTCTGCTATGCAGTTCATAATGAACTATGTGGCGGACGACATCATTGTCGCTAAGATCAAGAGTGATGCCAGTCTGCTGTGGAGCATCAGCCCTGCCAGTCGAGCAGCCATGATACAGGAACTCAGCAACTCCTCCCATATATACATGACCTTACGCTGGACGTTGCTCAGGTCAGTGTGTGTGTGTGTGTGTGTGTGTGTGTGTGTGCTCTGTTAGTGTGTTTCATTGTGCAGTGCAGATCCAGTGGGCTTGTATATGTTGTTGGCATGTGAGAATATACAAATGATCATCTGGGGTGTGAAGTATTATTTTAATGTGTGAATGGATATGAACAGTTGTACATGGAACATATGTGTGTGCATTACATGCATGTCCATTTATATAATGTCTTATTTATTTCTTTGGGATTCAGAAAGTTTAATTTGACTAAAAGAGAGATGTTTCTTTACAATTTAACAATTCTTCATGCAGATCTCTTAATTAAACTGTTCATTGACATTATAAGATCATTTGGCTGCATTTTGCACAAGCGCACATGAACAAACTGTGGTATTCCTGCTGCTAAACGCTCCTCTCCTTCCCTCCTCAGGAATGCATCCATATCAATGGTCGTAGAGACAGTGGGAGAACACACTGTGAAGTTTGAGGACAAGGCCTTGAGGGAAGGAATAGTCCAAATGCTGAAAGGCAACAGCAGCAAACCTGTGTGAGTTGCAGATAACACACAGAACTTAACTTACTAAAAGATGTTAATGTTAGAGAATTAAAGGAGCAGTGTGTAGGATGTAGTGGCATCTAGTGGTATCATTGCAGATCACAACCAACTGAATAAACCTGTCTTCACCTGTCCCTTTCAAAGTGTGTATGAGAACCTACGGTGGCATTCAGGCAATGTAAAAAAATGTGAAAGGCCCCCTCTTCAGACAGTGTCTGGTTTGTCTATACTATAGAATAATGCCAGTGCAACCATAAACTATATATAATATTAAATGTAGCAACCATGACGTCACCCATTGGTTTGTGGCTCCCGTTTTAAAGCATCAACTTTGCCATTTTAGCCATCACCATCTTGGACTTCTGGAGCTAGAAGTGACTGTATTTGAATGAGAGGGTGGAACTAACTCTAATGCTAGGTGCTAGCTTTGTTAGCACAGTGCATTTATAGCCTGTGGTCTGCTGTGATCATACTAATGCTAATTCATGCTAGTAAAAAAACAGACTAAAACCATTGAAACAAAATTTACTTACTGGGAAAATTGAACATTAGACTCCTTAGAGGGTCTTTTACTACAAATAAACACTGAACAAGACTTTTTTAAGCAACGAAAACATTACAATTAACGCTCATGAATGGAAAAAAAATATGAGATGACATTGTATGTCATAGACGGTTTCTCATCACTTTTACAACCTAGACATTCATGTGCATCACTGAATAGTTTTCTCCACTTGAGCACAAAAGGTGATAAACTACGTCATTCTGTCCTGTAGGATCATTCATTCTCTGCTGCCAAAGTTCCTCAGGGGTCCCAAAGGACCAGAGTCCAAAATGGCAACCAGGATGAAAGTAGGTTAGTTGCTGTTTATTTTACATTGACCATATTACAGATTTTCCTTCTATAAATTATAACTGTACTCAAAATATCCAAAGGAATCCATCTTGGAACAGGATCAGCTGACGATCCGCCGGCTGATCAGACTAATCTGTCCTGTGCTGATCCCTTGTTCATAATATAAAGTTTATTTTAACCCCTGCATGTCCTCCCTCAGAGCACTCAGACCGCCCAGACCTCCAGGCACTAGCTTTCTTCAGGCCCATGTCAGTCAAACTACAGCAGGTCAAAGGAGGATCAGAGAAAGAGAAAGACCAGTGGTGGGTTGTGGAGGAGTGCTCCCCAGTTCTCACCTTCTCCAGTCACAAGTGTCACAGCATAGAGATAGTGGTGTTCAGTGATAAAGTCAGCCCCTCCAGTCTGGGCTTCCTGGCTGGACACGGGTAGGTAACAAGACATCTCAGCTGCATGATAACATTAACACACTCCACTGGCTGTTGTGCGTGTAGTTGTTTCTCACACACACATATTTGAGCACTCTCTTTGCTCCTCTCCTCCTAACCACAGCATCGTAGGCCTGTACATGTCAGTGGTGCTGGTCATCGGGAAGTTTGTCAGGGAATTCTTCAACGGGATCTCCAGGTCCATCATGTTTGAGGAGCTGCCGTGCGTGGACCGGGTCCTGAAGCTCTGCACGGACATTTTCGTGGTCCGAGAGACGGGAGAGATGGAGCTAGAGGAGACACTGTTTGAGAAACTCATCTTCCTCTACCGATCACCAGAGACCATGATCAAGATGACCAGAGAGAAGAAAGACAGCTAGGGTTTAGTAGCTCAGTGTAGATCTGCTGGTATGGGATATGGAGGGAGAAACACCACCTGTGGATGTGTCCACAATGAACTCCCATCAGTCAGAATGATGTATTGGAGCAAATAACATTTAGTTTTTAGTTCTATTTCAACATTAGTGCAGTTAAAATGAGGTTTGTGGCAAATGGAGCAGCAGGAGTACCTATCTACCCTACTGAGGTTCCCCTGTGCAAGATTTCTGGCCGAACAAGAAAATAATTATTCCCAAGCGGTTCAGCGCTTATATAAAAATGGATTCAATGGTTTTCACAATTCCATTGCAAGCTTTCATACTGACAAGAGCTTTCTCTGGTTTTATAATTTTCACTGAGGTCATCAGTGTGGGGTTGATTTTTCTGTCATTTATGGTAGTTTGTTTACACTAATAATATGATCTGCAGTTTGACAAATAAAAGTGCCCATTAGTTATTTGCTATATTTGATTTTCAGTCCACTGGGCAATACATGCATTTCTAATGATTTTAGATTCAGGTTTTTACTGGTGTACAGTGCACACAACACCCTATTCCCTAACTGAGGCTCTTACAGGATCAATGAAATTTCAACAAACCATTGATTTACTCATGGATCAAAGCACACATACCTCTGTAAATACCATGTTTCTGTATATGACTACATAGACTACTGCACCGATTTATTTATACCAAAATAAAAAAATGTTGTTACAGACAAAAAGTGTTTCAGTGTCTCAGTCTGCAGTGTACATGTAAATAATACATTCGCCAACAAGGCAAGAATACAAGGAGACAAAGTGTATTTCCGATATCCATCTTTAATACAATTTTAATTACAAATGAAAGGGAAAATACATCAATTTCATTCGGGTCATCTTGATGCCATCAATCTTTTTCTTCTTCTCCACGATGTGCAGGACAAGACAGTGACAGGACCTCACAGCTCAGGGGAAAATATCTACATCACGGTCTCAAATCCTGGAGAAAAACAGAGAGGATAGAAACATTACTCAAAACATTCTCATGAAGATTATTTTGGATCCAAATAAAATTGAATTATTTATATCAATGACTGCAGATTTAGGGTTAGTCTGCTTTAACAGTACAATTTCAACCTCTATAATTACTCAAAGTTTAAATTTGTACAGGAGGGGTGCAAAAATGGGATATGAGCCGTAATGTGCAGACACTTCCAGGGCTGCAACATCATAAAACATTACCTTGATACACCATAAATAGGGTCAGCTGATTATTGTGAATCAGTTTAGAAGATATGAAAAGGTACAAGTACAATTTCAACCAAGCACACTGAATGAACGGCCTTGTCTTGGTAGACAGGTAACCATGTACCAAACACTGCTGTGTGTGCAAGGTTTCATTCAAACCAAAACCCCCATTGGCTAATTATTAGTTACTTTGGAGATAAAGATTTTGCATACAAAACATGCACATTTTCACAGAAAACTCATCTAGAAAAAAATGCATTATTAGATATCTAACTAATCAGCAGTATATAAAATACATATGATAGGTAACACTTTTTGAATCGTCTACCTGCAAATAGTTTGTAAAGTATCTGTAACATTTCAACACCATATCAGTGAGTGAAAGTTTCGCTTTCTCTGTAGATGTTTATGGAGTATATGTGACACCTAACTACATATTCTCAGAATAATTTAGTTGAATTTGAACTGTCACTCAAACTATGCTGCAAAGGTTGAGTGAATACTAGTTAATCTGAATTATTCTGATAATGTATGTTCATGAGTTACCACAGGTTACTATGTTTTGCATCTACAGAATAGAGCACAACAGTTAAATTTCGACTAATAAACTGGTGAAATGTTACAAATACTCTCTGCTATCTGTAGGCGGACTATCCAAATAAGGAGTAACCAAATGTGCAAAATTATGTGTACATGTTAGTGCATCAGGAATAATAATCAAAAATAATATTCCAACAGCAACAAAAGCAAGGTCACTGTTGATGTGGTGCTGTATATTAACGTAGCTTCTCCTCTATTGCTTTTGTAATACTTAGGATGCTCCACTTTCACATACAAAGAGATCTTTCTGACACTGTAAGATTGCAATTTAAATGCTCTGAGCACATCTTCCACCACTGAGCACCTGCTCTCCGTCACCACTCAATGTCACAGCTGCCTCTGCTTGAAACACACACACTCTGGGGACCATGATGGTGTTGTGTGCCCATGTGGTTAGAGTTGATTTCCAACTTTAAAAAAATCTGATGAACTTACATGATGCCGGTTTGGGTTTGTTGACTTTGACGCTTGCCTCTGCGGCCTTCAGTGCCTCGGCTTGGAACTGCGGCTTCATTGCAGCGCGCACCGCGTTAGCGCAGATAGCGGAGAAGCGGATGTAGCTACAGAGAGGACACAGTTGTTAGCCACATGCTAAAGGACAAACAGTTCTCACAGAGAAAAAACACTACCGCTCCTTACATAACTAATAATATATTGCATGTCTTATCCGACAGAAACACACGTTGGCAGGTTATCAGTTAGCGCCCTAAATTAAACGCATGTGTGGAAAAGCTAATATAGTAGCATAAAGCTAAAACAGTAGCTATCGCTCTCTGAGGCATTACGACGAAATGCTAACAAAGACTTTGCTAAAGTATTCGGCCAAATCTACAAATACTTATTTACAATATCGCGGTCGACGCTGACCACAGAGCTAACTTTGTTGATATACATGTACATGTTTTATACCTGAGGCCAGCCTGTCTCCAGTATGCGACCATCTTGCCTGTGTGGTGTTTCGGCTTCAAGGACAGGTCGGATATATGATATTTGCGTAATTACGTCATCAGAGAGACGCTGGTCTTTCTTCTAGCCAATAAAAAGAGGGCTTGATCATGATTGACAACTATGACAGTAGTTGTCCCGCCTCCCAGACAACACCTTAACCACCTGACCAAAAACAGCATAATATTTCTTTTATGATCTTGGTGACACCTCAAGCAGTCGGTTAGTTGTAATAATGTTCTTTTAGGTTCACATTACACATTATATTAATAAGTAATCACCACATTTAATTAGTTAAAGGGGTCAATAAGTTATGAGCTAATTAAAAATGTAACAATATCGTTCTAATTTTACATATTTTCATGTAATTTCTTTTTCGGATGTTTTGCGCAGAGTGATTTTTTTATATTGGGTTCTCATCAAAATGTTGTTCCGTAGATATTTATCTGGATGGAATTATTGGCAGTATGTCATTTTAAAGGGCCCTCCTTTGGTAGGAAATTACTTTGAATTCAGTTATGAAATAAGAATGCTGATTTATTGTGTGAGTATCAAGAAAACTCTTATAAAAAGTATATACAATTTTTAATGGTGAAAAAGGATCCACCAGCAGAAATGGCAGGATGTGCAGTTATAGTGTATAGATCTGATAAGGAAATACATCGTGAAATATCAAATTATTCAAATGTTTATACCGTAGGAGAAATTTAACTCCACCAGCAGGATTTTTAGGGGAATATTATGAGATATTATGATTATATAGTCTTCTCAGTGGTATGCTATGACAGGTATATAATTAGGCCTTTGTATTATTATCATTACTGCATGATACTAATGTCACAGACAGTAGTCATATTACTGCATGGTGATAATAAGGATCACACACAATATTTTTATAGTGTGATTTAATGTGATAAAGGAATATCATTATAAGCTTGAATGTAACCACAAATGTGATTAAGCAAACACTGAATAAGTCCAGCTCAATGAATACACATTTATTCAAAACTAAATGTACGGTTTGTTTGCAAAACAAAGTTGAACTTGAAATATATTTTTTAACTATAGATGTTAAATAAATGTAGTGGAGTAAAAGCCCCTTTACTTGCCACTCAAATGAACAGGGGTAGAAATAAAATGGATGTGATTTAACATACAAATCCCTCAGAAATGTAAAAACAATACTTGACTGTGTTAACTAATAAATAAATAAGCCTCATGGATTGTTCTGGACGTCAGGGTGCAGCTCCTGTGTCTGCCACCGGGGGGCGTGTCGTCCATTAAAGCCTTTCTCCTTCAGCCCCTTCTTCCTTCCTCACCGCGGTCACGCTGTCATTAGGCACCGGCTCCCGAGCCCTGACAGAAAAGCCTAAAAAATGAAGATCTGGGCGTCAGAGCACATTTTCAAGTGAGTGTTTCTCTCTCTGTGATGATGCCTTAAATAAGTCTGTCTGTTTAGTAACTGGTTTCTTTTCGTATGAATAGTTATTGTGGGCTCCCCTCCGGGGGAGCAGTCTCCGGGCGCAGCTGCTAGCCGCCTTAGCTGCTAAGGTTGCACAGAAGTTAGGTAACTTAACGTAAAGAGCCTACGGCAAAGTTACCCAACTGTCTGTCGTGAATGTTAATGACCATTTTAGTAAATGTGACCTCCGTTCGTCATTATGTTTTGACATTTTTTCAACAAATAGCCACACTTGTTGGTCTTTGTGCATTAGAAGTTACCCGCTTTAGCTAGCTGAATTAACTTAATGGTTAGCTTTGTGCCGTTAGCCGTAAAGCTAACTTTGGCTATCAGATGCCGCAACGTTAGGTGCTAAGCCGTGTGTGTTACTTTAAACTTAAAGCTTACTGAAACGTTTCAACCACGAGTTTACTACGAATGGAAAATGAATCTTGTGGTTTTCACGTGTCTTTCCTGAACCACGGGACTAAATGTTTGGCATAATGGACGTTAGCTGACGTTGCCGAGATCATAATCGTTACGTTACATAACGGTCTGTGTGGCTGTCAGAGGAGAGACCCTGCGATTAAAACACAATGATCCGTCTATTGTCTGTGTGTGTTTGCTCTTCAGAAGTGTTAGCGTTTAGTCTGTAACAATGGTGGGACCATTTTTGTCCATTTCTAGAAGTTTCTAGTGAAATTCACGATGATGATGGTCCACGCTGTGCGGAGGGGGCGTTCCTCCTGCTGTCAGTCTGTCCGAGTATTTTGATGAGTCCTCCATTTTGATTCTGCGCCTGTCTTTATTATTTATAGTATGACATTTGAACTTTTTAGAAAATTATTCTCTTACTTTGTAAGGCAGGGCAAGTCCGATCATTTTAAGATTTTTTTTCTCATGAATCTGCACCTATTCGTGTTACTGCTGTTTCTATGTATTAGTGCAACACACACAGGGTTAATTTGAGGTGGGGTTTGCATGTGGCAAATTGATAAATGACAGATGCATTAAGCTTGAGAATAATCTTCATTGTTATCTTTTGTTAGCTTTTGTCAAACATACAAAATGGTGAAAATGGCCTGAATCTGATTTTCACTGCCTGATTTGCAGCATGTTGTCTCATACCATAGCAGTGCATTTTGTGTCATTGGTGGATTTAGACATTACCACATGTATTATAATGTAAATATACAAGCGTTGGCTAAGACTAACAATCTTAAGTTCCTAGCCAGAGTGTTTAGAGTGCCAGAGGGGCATCAGTCCATAGGGACTTGGGTTGGGAGGGTCACCAGTTCAGGTCCCCTTCTGACACCAAACCTGTCCATGGGTAGCCCCCTCACTCTGACATTTCCTCATTTAATGCATGTATAGGTCCCATTTGTGCATGTGTGTGTATTTCGGGCCTGTTTGTAAAGGACAACACAGTGAAACAGTTGAATTTCTCCTCAGGGATTAATAAGTATATCTAAAATGGCCTTCAGAAGTTTCTCCAAAAAACTCCAAAACAGAATTAACAGAATTTCTCCTCATTTCTCCTCCACACAGAATTAACTTACTTGTTCACCGGTCAAATTTTACGAGATACTTAGCAGATCTTATTTTTTTGGCTAGTAAGTGAAGGAAATCTACCAGCCGCTTGCATATTTTATAACCGTTTGGGTAGGGGATGGTGCTAATTTTGTACCCTGGCCTTTAGGAACCGTAGAAACTGTTTCTAATGTTAACATTGGTTTCAACAGCCATCCATGGGAGACGGTGACCAAGGCAGCAATGCAGAAGTACCCCAACCCCATGAACCCCGGTGTGTTTGGTGTTGATGTCCTGGACAGAAGCGTGGACACACAGGGACGGTTACACAGCACCAGACTACTCAGCACAGAGTGGGGGCTCCCTGCAATAGCCAAGTCTGTAAGTTTGATGATGAGAGAAACGCTTGAGCTGCAGTGATGCTTTAAATGTCCAGTTTGGAAGATTTAGTGGTATCTATTTGCAGAAATTGAATTTAATGTGAAGTCGGAGCAAGTCAAGGTAAAGTCAGACAGAAATCTAACCAGATTGCATTGTGCAGCAGTCAATTATTCACAGGCCTGGCTTGAACAATCTAATGTGAGGTGTGTTTTTTATGTTTTGTAATTTTTGAATCAATCCTGAGTTGTGTCCTTTTCCTCCAGATAATCGGGGCAACAAGAACGTGCACTTATGTTCAGGAACACTCAGTGGTGGACCCCAAGGAGAAGCGCTTTGAGCTGAAATCTACAAATGTAAGTAACGCTTATATAATACAGTAATACTGATATGTACACTTTCAGTAGTAACCGATGTTGCTTGACAGTGATATAGAGTGATACCCTAAGCCGTAGTTGTTCCCTCAGTCAGTGTCTGCGTCTGATTTCTCATTTAGTAGCCATTCACACATGGTACCAGCTTTTTTGGCATCTCGATTGTGCAAGTTATTAATGTTGTTTTGACTTGTTGAATTTCTTATTTAGAAATGTATGGCTCTGTTTTCACTGTGCTTACTGTTAAATTTTCTAAAATGTCCGTAGACAGTGTAAATATTTTGTGTGAGAAAGACTAATGTGTGTTTTATTTTGTCCATCCAGATCTCCTTCACTAACCTGGTATCTGTGGACGAGAAGTTAACATACAAGCCACATCCGCAGGATCCTGAAAAGTAAATGACTCAATTTTTCTTTGTCTTATATATGTCTCATTGGGCCTGAGTATTTTGAACAAAAGCTATAATTGCTTAAAATGATTTAAAGTTTTTGTTGACAAACTGTTTTGGAGTTTTAATTGAAAGATTATTAAATGGATACTAAAACAGATTTAACATTGTGTTGACTGTTGGTGACCTTTATTTGTATGATTGTGTGTTCAGGACGGTGTTGACACAGGAGGCTCTGATCAGTGTGAAAGGTGTCAGTCTGAGCAGCTACCTTGAGGGTCTCATGGCCAACACCATCTCTGTCAACGCCGGCAAGGTGATGTCGCCCTTAAAATCTCCCGATAACTCATCATGACAATAGGGTGTCTTTTCATAGCAATATGCCTGTCACTACACATGACGTTTTGTTAACACCCTCCCTCTTTCTGTCTCAGGGCCGGGAGGCAATGGAGTGGGTCATCAGACGATTAAACACAGAAATCGAGGAGTTGGCAGCAACTGCTCGTGGTACGATACGCGCTCCGATGGCAGCAGCCGTCGCGGACAAATGATCCCGGCCTTCTCCACTGTATTCTCCACCATCATGAACCGATGGTCCTCTTAGACATTTCCTCCCACCTAACCTGCCAACACAGCCTAATAACCACAGCCCCATCCTTCAGCCCTGCGTACGTTTGTTTGTGTGTGCATGTCACGAGTACTTGCTGGTCGTCCCTCCTCAGCAGTCTGCGCAGATGAGTTTGATACTCACCGCTGCGGGCAGTGACCAAGAGTGTTGAGCTGATGACAGTACAGAAAACAAACAGGGTTGAATTGGACTGCACTTGAAGCTCATAGGACGTAGTCTTGTGATGTTAAAGCTCTTTTTTTAAAAAAGAAAATCACACTGTGCCTCCACATCATCTCATCCGTTTAGTCTTTTCTGTCTTTCTCCCCTTTGTCTTGAACTTTTCATCTCTCAACATTCTCTTTTTATTGTTTCCAAACCCTCGTAAGCAAGTTAAGGACTTTCACTGACTTTCACTGGATTGGCTGACCTTGCTTTGTACAGCGGAACAGACCAAAAATATCTCAAAACCAAAATCACCATTGCAAACAGGCTGCAACACAGTACAGACACTGCTTCAGCTTTTGTCTTGTGATATCAAAGCTCCAGGCTTTAATTCTCCACCGTCCTGTGAAATACTGAGCAATCTTATAATCCAGATTACTGTTTTGTTTTTCTCACCTGGGTTTAGATGTATTTTCTCAAAGATTTATTTGTGGCGTGCTGGAGTCTGAACAGTTTTTGGTAAAAACTGGTGAGGCTCAAAGGAAGCAGAGCTCTCATCTGAAAGCCAGATCTGAGTTCAGGTTAAGTGGCTGGACGGGAAAGCCAGTTTGTGGGTGTACTTACTTGGTCTGGTACAACCAATTTTAAAAATTTGAAACTCTTGTGCCATCATTTGGAACCAGAAAAGCCAGCCAACGTTTGTTGTTGTGAACGTCTCAAAAGTATTTAAAAGAAGTGGGGGAGTGAGTTTCTGTTTAATTTACCAATTGATGCAGATGCGGGTCTGTCTGCTGAAGATGTCAGCATGGATGACTGGTCTTCAGATGTTCTGGTCTTGTTCTGGGTACAAATGACTTCATTTCTTAAGTCTTGCCTTTTGTTAGTCTTTCCTTTTACACTGATGATGTGCTGTACAGTTAAGTGTTACAGTATAAGAATGTGCATACTTGAATGTCTAACTTATTTACAGCATATGTGCTTAAATACACCCAAAAAGGCTGCAAAGTGAGTGTATGAGCACTGAGCAACATGTAGGCATTGACCACAGTGTTTGGATGTGTTGTGAACATTCACCATTGTTGTCAGAGGAGCTCTGAAGGGTTACGTTCAGGATCACTGGGTGTGCCAAGACAAAATGTGAAGATTAAAATAACTTTATAGATTTAATATCCCAAAACACTTTGTGTACGATCATGAACAAACCCAGTGCGTTTGTTCATACTGTCTGTAGATGGTGTTATTTATAGTATAGATGTATTAGTGAACATTGACGAAGGCTGTTAAATTGATCCGTTTAAAAAGCTGTTTGCTCGTGGCGTTTTTATACTTCCTTCCTTATCCCATAGCGGACTCTCAGGTGCTACATAGTTGACTGTGGTTCAGTTTCGGTGATTGCTTCCTTTGTAAAGACTAACTTGAGATGAAGGCGACATAACTTTGTAACTCTTGTTCTTCCCTTTTCTTCTCTTCTTCTATCTAGCAGTTTTATTAAGGACAGTTCTACAAGTTAAAGTTTACATCAGAAGGGTTTGTGGTACAACGCAAGCTTTTTTCCAATATCTGTATGGAGCTCAGCATCACAAGTCTTCCAAGATGCTCCACAGAGAGTATCTTGCTCGACTGTCATGGTCTCAATTATTTCAGTGGATCTCTTATGTAACCACAGTGGGTCAGTCTCTTCCACACCTGCTTCCACTTCAGCTGAGCTTTTGTTTTTAAAGCTTGTTCATAGTTAACTAACTCCTCATCGCGTCCAGCTCAGGATCAGACTGTTTGAAGTCTGGTCTGCTGCCTAACTGATAGTCGGTATCCTCCCAGTGTCTCGTTTCACAACTGAAGTGTGATGTTTTTCTACGGGGAACATTTTAGGAGCAGCGGCTGTAAATAGGCTTATATTTATATTTTGGTGTTACATTCCAAGAATGTGAACCTGTAACAGAATCTGAAGAGTGCACACTGAAATGTTTCAAAATAAAGAGATGGCATTGTTTCATGAATGTGGCCGTCATTTTTTGTTGTAAAATGTCGCAACTTTCACCTAAACTCTGCAGGTGTATTCTCCCAGACCAAAAAGACACAATCAACCTGTCCAGTGTACAAAAAGGCGGTATGTCCAGTCTGAGGCATTTATTTATTGTTGCCTCTGATGTTTAATGAGTGTTTTTGCCTTGACTCCACCAGGGCAAATATTTGACAAATGTATTAGATACGTATTTACAATTTTTCCTAATCCTTTCGACACATTTCCTGAAACTAAAGTTCAACTTTGCAGAACTAGAAAGGGTTAACATTTTGTCTAAACTCTTAAAGTCTCACTGCACTGAAAACCATGTTTTCTCTTCTCAAAACTGATTCTTTCCACCAAAATGGAAACACACAGCTATCATATAAATATCCCTAACAGACCATCAGTTAAACACTGGTGTGATAAACAGAAGACACTGCCATCAAAATACTGTTTAGATATGTTTTGGCGTCATGAGGCCAAACTACATATTCAGATTTATAAACCAGTGTAGTAACTGTTTCCTTTTTTCAAAGTTTAGGGTTTATTGGTCCCAAAAAAGGCTGCAAATTTATGGCACATGCAGTACAAAGACTGTTGCCATATAAACATATAACCCAGCTTCACAGATTCACACTATAAAAGTTGACAATGCAACATTGTTAGGTTCTGAGATTACGCAAATGTTACCTACTTTGGCAAAACTTAAAAGAACTGCAATAATAAGTAAAATGAGAAACATTACAGTGACAGAATACGACTGTAAGACTGTCCCCTGGAGCTGTAAGGGCGAAATCAGGGCACAAATTAAAAGTAACAAGGCCGCCTTCTTCTTGTTCTCTCTCAAAGGATTGTTTCGCCAGTTGACTTTGAACAGGTGAGATGTGAGTGAGACCTATTGGTAATTAGGACGTGGCATTTTAAGGCCAGCGTTCTCCGGCCGAACAAGGCGTGCTGAATTATGCTGTATGTGTTAGAGTTTTTGCAGAAGCGTGACATACAATATCTTCTGGAGTGAAAAACAATAGAATAGTGCTTAGAGTTTAGCAGTCTGAAGTCCTGTTGTTGATACAAGATCTTCAAGTTCCCAGAATTATGTGCATAGTTTCATTTTTTGTGAATATGCAGTGGAGAAAAACTGTACATTGGTTCTTCAGGAAAATGTTAAATCCTTGCACCCTCCATTATTAAGCACATTTCTAGAGATGATGTTATGGACATATATATTTTTAATTTAGTGCCCTCTGGTGGTAGTACAAGCAATGGCACAGTGGCACACGGCATGCTGTAAAAAAAAATCAGAATTGACCATTCATACAAAAATAAATTGTCATCAGAAAAATTTTACAGATGAAATAATAACACAAAAATCATATAACATAGTGACTTTGAAATCAAATCACTCCCTTTTTTCTTTATTAGTGGAAAAATATGTATATAAAATGTAAAAAACAAAAAAAGTTCTCATGACAATATGATTTTCAACCCCTTTAATCAGCTACGCCTTATTTTTCTATCAATGAATCAGTCAGAGTGCGGTATCAAAAATGAGTAACAAAGTTATTGTGTAAAAAAGATCCAATTTCAGGCTGAGCACCACTTTATAAGCATTTACAAAGATAAACCGAAGGCTTAACATTGATTTGAAATGAAGGCTGTATATGTGTACATTTTGATTGTGTACTGTAGCAAGGCATGTTAATCATTTACAGTCCAGAGTCCAGACAGATGTAGTTGTACCTCTTAAACACAGTAGTGCCTTTGTCATGTGGTGTCAGATGTAGACAAATCCAGTTTGTTTACTGGTTTAAAGCTGAAGAATCTGAACTGAGATGAAGAGCGTCCATGTTTGTCTGTCAGTTGAAGCCTCTGTCTGTTAGCAACACCTGAGCATCTGAGGAGACGGCTATAAAGCCCTGTTAGAAATAAAGACAATGGTCAGTCTGACAAGAATTTCTGCTCCTAATTATAGTTTTTTTCTGAATGCTTACACACTAACAATAATTCTTGAAGCACTGTCTCTGAAATCATTAATCCTCGTAGCCACTGCATTTACAAAGTGTGCAAAACTGAATGACTTTCTCTGCATTTCACTCAGTGTCTAATTTTATAACACACTTTTGCTTGAAGAAAGGTATTCGCACATCTATCTCAGATGCAGATGCATTGGAAAATGTCACTTGAGTTTTTGAACAGAAAATCCCGCACACTGCTCTTACTTAGCTTCACAATTTATTAGTAACACTAATGTTTCGGTCCTTCTGGACCTTTGCCAAGAGTGTTCAACACCATTATTTCCAACATTGAGCTTAAACAGAAACTGCCTCACCTATTTCCCAGGTGTGCACAGGTGTGAGGAAATTAACCAGCTGTGGGTGTTTTTTCAATAATTGACAACAGCCTGTGTGGCCTGTGCATTGCTACACTCTATTTTTCCTCATTTACACATTTGAAAACACTGGTTGGTGCTTCTTGTGCTTATTCAAATGATGGGTTTGAAGAGTTTGCAAGAGTTGTGTGCTTTTGCAAAAGATGTATAATGTTTTGTGGTGGATTTGTGGTTAGTGTGTTTTGCAAAAGTAGCCTATAGTTTGAAAGATAGTCACTTAGCAATCAGAAAAAAATCATGTAAAATGTCCTCCAAAGTCAAACATGAACCTAACATTAATGAGAAATCTTTTATTAACACTGACCTCATCCACCTCCAGAACTGTGTTGACCAGCTCTGTGTGTCTCGTTCTGGGTAAAACAACACCTTTGCCAAGTTCCACTGAAACAGACAGTGCGTTATACATTATTTTAAATGCATTGGATCAGTACTGTATTTTATAATAAAAGAAAAATGCATTGTATCCCTCTGTGTTTCTCTAGAGTACATTGATGGAGATAATAAAAAAGGTAATACTGAACATTATAAACATTTAGTTGCTATTTATTACAAACAAAATGTCCACGTTAAACTTCCAAACAGTGGAAAAATTAAACAAGCCTATACACTGCCAATCTGTGTCCAAATGTCTTCGAGCAAAGCAGACAGACAAAAATGTGCTATGCTACAATCTTTAATCTCACATACTCAGAGAACTGAACCCAGAAACACGTGATTCTGACTCACCGTTCACTTTTGCCAAGACTATCTTCATTCCCATCATCGTCACCTCTTCCAAGGAATCGATCTGCAAAGAGAAACATACAGTATGATTCGTTACTCTCGCTATTTTGCATACATGAGGCTGCCTGTGACTACGACATCATGTAATGTTGTTATGTGTCATGTACCTTAACGGTTCCCACTTCACTCGACACCAGCGTCAGTGTGAAACTGTTTGAGAGAAAGAGATATCATTACTTTAAGTTTGATATTGTGAACTCAGGTGTTTGTTTTAAAACATGGTGATGCTCACTTGTCCTGTGCCATGGAGCCCTTTAGTGTTCCATCAGCAATCAACACTTTACCACTGAATTTAAAGTCCTGAAAGACAGAGCAAAAAATAAGAAATTTAGGCACAAATGTAAGGCCAAACTGGGCAGCTGCAAGGTGTGAATGTACACATAATATCCACTGTACAACCACTGTTGAAATAAAGCACAAAAAAGAAAAAGTGGAGAACAAAAAGCTACATGCACTTGTATATCAATGGGCCAGAAAACAACAGTACTCACAGCATTGAGTTTGAACAGTGGGATCTGGGTACCATTTGGCTGGATGGCGGAAGCCTTAAGAGCAGCCTGAAAGCCCAGTTTAACAACACCAGGCTGGAAGGAAAACATCGGCACCTCTCTGGCATAAATCTGCAGATTCATCAGCAGACCTGGAAACATTTTGGGAAGCTGCAGAGAAAAAAAACTTAATTCTATAATATTTTCACAACTTTAACAACACATTTTCATGAACAGAACAGAGCAAATGTGTGAACAGTTGAGATTCTACTTTAGAAGGTTTAAAATGGACACATAGCCTACTGTATTTTAACTTTCTACATGGCTATAATGTCACATTTGTGTCAGAGCTGTTTGTTTACTTGGCTCAACTCCTGTTAGTGTGAGTATATGAAGCCTGGTGAGTGCGGTTTACAGTAATCTCACAGCTACTTGTCCTCTTTATTCAGTGAAACAATTAGTCAATTAACCAATTAATCAGCTGATATAATATAAATCAGCAGCACTTTTCATAATCGATTCATTGTTTGAGTAATTTATTTGTCAAAAATGCCAAATATTAAACTGCTTTCAGCTTTTTAAATGTGAGGATTTACACTATATGGATCCCATAACTTATCTGTGCCTCTGCTGAGTTAATAAGACGGTAGGTGGGGTATGGGTGAGTTGGGGGAATTTCCAAAGACTTTCTGTTTATATCATTCAATGAGTTCACACGAGCCCCTTTGTATTAATCTTGAATATGAAACTGTTGTGTTTTGGCCGAGGTTGCTTCGGGCAGCAGGATGATAAAGATGCAGCTCAGGTGAGAACAAAAACAGCTCAACAAATTTTTGACTGCTCATGGAAGCCAAACTACAGCTATTTTTGAAGAAGTTTAAGGTAGAAATGGGTTAACAAACTTGTCTACGCGTTGCTTCTCAAAATAGCATTCAAAAATATAACTAATAAAACCCAGTTGAGATGTTCAGATATAGGCTTCATAATGTTTATAGTGTTTTTTAATTACTTTAATATGTAAATTTTTTGTAATGTCTTTTTTCTCTTTTTAACAATAAAAAGTCAAGATATAATATTCAGTCCTAAGAAACAGGAGAAAGTCAATTCCAAGGTCAGGATTGAAAATGTATCATAACTATGTTTTATGATTAGATACTGTAAGTTTGCTGCAGCTATTTGAAGTGATATGCAACCTATATTGTCTTCAAGGTTTGGAACATTCCCATGCATCCTCCTGCTGACAGCTCTTTGACCAACGCTGGCTACTTGAGTATTAATGGTCTATAAATGCTGTTTTAATGAGTAGGATGTTCTTGATGGCTTTGGCATCAGTAATCTGATTGAATGTTGATATCATAAATATAATGCAATGCAGATTCAAGCAAACAGCCAGTGACAGAAAGAAAACTGAGTTGATGAAGTTACTGTATTATATCTCCTGTTCTAGGTGCTTGGTGACTAAGTGTAAATTACAAGCTGTGCCTTTGCACCAATTGTTGAACCACAGTACCATCATGTAGCCCTGTTCCTCCCAAGCAATTTTAGACAAGAGCTCCTATTCAATGCTGATTTCTGTGGATGTCAGATCTGTGTCACTGGGTGCAGTCTGACATGAAGCTATTCATACAGTGAGTTAATAAAACTCTTTAGCGATGCCAAGTGTAAACCTGATACAGATACACTTACCTCAGGAATGAAAGGCCCCATTGCGCTGGTATTTAGGTGCAAGGGGATGTATGGAGGTATCTGAGATGATAAAACAATATCTCTTAACCACACACATAGTTTAGGGCAGAAAGTGATGAATGCATTAGTTTAGGGGGCACTTACCATGCTGTCATTGATGAGGGCCTGAAGCAGTCCAGCTGAGTAGAGTCCATATGAGGCAGAGTTCAGAGTGAAGTCAGACAGGCCCACTGACAACATGTAGCCTGGTGGCTGAGGCACAGTGAAAGGCTGGGCCTTAAATGGAGGCTCTGCATGAGTTCTGATGTTGTAGAACTCTCCCTTTAAATAAAGACACGGAAATGATCCAGTGATCACGCTTTTAAAAATGTCTTTTGCCAGAGTGTGTTGGACATATTCAGATGGGTGACAAATTAAAGGAACCTGAAAGCGATCGGTGAAGAAGTATTTACTTCCACAAGGGACAACAGGGCTGACTGAATGATAAACTGTTAATAGTACAAAAATGATGCATATTACATGCTTTGGCCATCATCAACCCAGCTGTACACCTATGAGAGATTTCGGAGCAATAAGTGAGACAGTGGTCTTCAGCGCCATGCATGCAAGAGCAACACAGTGCTTTTCAAACTTGCTGGGATGCAGCCAATGTGCTGTAGCTCCCCTAAACACCTCTTCTTCTCCTAGTCTAGCAATTAGCTGTTACAGCTCTGAACAATTTGTCATTCTCACTAAGTCAGCATGTTTTGGTCATCTTTAGGTCAAACGTTATTATGTTTATATATGATGTGGCCAAAAGTCAGGGGACTTCCAAAATATGAAAAGAGATTGTGTGTATTCACCTTAAGACCCAGATTCATACTTGAAGCATCAATGATGGGTGTGCCAGTGAGAGGAAGGTCAAAAGCAAAGATGTCATCCACATCAAAGGAAACTGATAAGAGTAGGAATCATTTATAGATTGAATTGTATAGTTATAGGTTAGAATTTCTTACTGTTATTTTACTTTTGTCTTAAAGTAAAGTAACATCTGGACTATATAACTGCTAGGGCCTGTACATTTTACAAAATATATTAGGGTCTAAATGAGGATGTAGCCTGATGCAATACCTGTCATGGCCTGTAGATGGTACTCCAAGCTTGAAATATATTCCTCCACCCAAGGGCAGATCTGTGGAGGACATAACAAGGCAAATGTCTTGTCTGGTCTGTACATTAGGTTTCACCTGAGCTTCATCTGAGCATAGACAGAGCCTCCACTGATATATGTGACAGAAACATAGAGAACCACTCACATTGCCCTGTATTTTATCCTTGATACGCCCCTTGAAATGCTCCACTAAAGGCTGGAAGAGCCAACTGTGAAATGACAAATGAAAATACAGTGTTGATATGCTGACATCAGTATCACCCTCTCCTGGTCTCTCTACATCCCTCTGTTCTACTGTACCTGGCTCCACCGTGAAACTGTATGTTCACATCTCCAACCTGAGCATCACAGCTAACACTGGTGACAGACAGATGGCCGTCAGGGTCTTTGCCCAGCTCCACCACAGAGGTCACATCCATATTAAATATAGCCATGTCGAATGATCCTCCGTCATGTCTGAAAACACACAGTACAAACAAAGTCAGTGCTGGCATATCAGCCTGCAAACAACTCAAGAATTATTGACTACATAATAAGAGATAAGATAAAAGTCAGACTAAAATGCCAATTGAAGAGCATGCATAACTCTGTAGTCCATAGACTTTGTCACTTTGTATGATTTCATGTAAACTTTATGTTAAAACAATTCAGTTGGAGTGCAGACTAAAGTCCTCTGCCTGAGCTAATAATATCCTCAGTTGGCTGTTACTTTGACATTCACCATGGTTACTGGGTGGACAACAGTTTTAGTGGCCTGATGGCACTGGGTGAAAGAACTGGAAGTCACCAAAATCACTGTTTTTTACTAACTTTATGCCACTTTCTAAGATGCATGTATTCTTATCACACCACTTACCACTGTCTACATTGTTAACTACACTTAACTGATCTAACTGACACAGTTTATTTCAGGATAACATGTCAAGTTCTGGTTTAAATACAGTAAAAGTATTATTATAATTTTTGCGACAGTGAGAAAAGTGTAGCATAAGTGAACAAGTGGGTTTCTTGGCTGTGCAAGACCAGAGTTCCACAGTTCTAGTTCCAGAGTTCAGGGGAAACAACACAGCATGACATTTTAAAACAGACACTTCCTTTTCTAATCAACCTGAGATGAACTGAGAACACATAAGGCTGTGCTGAATCTTAATATCACTTCCTCATTTAGCCTCTATATGTAAATTTCTCTGCTAACATTTCAAGCTGAAATATGTAACATGCATTGAGATGATTACATTTATATTTAATGTAATATTTAATAATATTATTAAATATTATGTAATGTTATATTTAATCACTTTTAAAGATAATCAGATTACCTCTGCTGCTCCAAAGATTTGGTTATTGCTCAAAAGGAAAACCTGAGAAATGTCACTCCAAACCCTGACTGAACAGCTGGGGGGTTACTGACTTGATGGACAAGGAGCTTACGTGTCGGGCAGAGATCAGAGATCACTCACATTATGCCATAGTGTGTCATCCAACTGCCACTAAGTGCAATACTGAGGCCTGGGATGGACGTCTTGAATCCTGTGGTGTTCTGATAGAACTGAACAGATGGCTCCGGAAAGTCACACTTTGTTATGGTGGTGCTAGAGCACATGGGGAGAGCAAAGACAGATGTAGATAGGTGTGAGGATGATCTGAGTGATGTAAAAAAGGTTAATAGACATCTATATCCAGGACTGTCAAATATAATCCTACCCTGTCAGCGTGTAGTCTACGCTGCCAAGGATGCCAATGCCGAATTCCCCGCTGATGTCAGGGAGACTGACAACGTCCAACTTCTCCTGAATCCATCCTGCACCTACATGTTTTCCTGGGATGAACAGCACACATGTATAAAGCTTTAAAGTCTCATGTGTAACTTTGTTGGGTTCTTTATGGTCTAAAACCATATGAAGCAATTATTTTTTGTGCCAATAAACTTAACAACTGAGTGAATAACACCATCACACACTGCCTTACCGTACTGGAGTCCTTTGTTAGTCAGGATGACTTGTATTGCAGGATTTTGTGCACAGGTTAAAGAGATGAGCGTGAGCACGACTAACACGGGTGGAAGCATTTTCCTGGGTCCCCTGTGGTGCAAGCAATGTACTAAGTACAAAATCTGAGCATGAGTGTAGCCATGAAACTGCACAGGCAAAGACTACTGAGACTTTTACATTTTACTGTGAAACATAAAATCAAACATATTATTCTCAATAAAGTTGCTGTAGTGTTGTGTGTAGCATACCTGAATTACTGCAGGATGAAGTTTGTTTGTGTAGTTTCTGAACAAGCGTCTTCAAACTCTCTCTGCCATTGATCCCCCTACTGTAGCATTGCTTTCTTTTACTGAGAAGTGAAACTAAGTGACATCTGACTATAGCCTCAGGCAGATGTGGTGTGGGCTTGGGTGTGTGAAGAACAGGAAACTACACTATTGTTTGATTCTGCTCTGTGTGAAACACTTCTACATTGTAACTAGAATCCTTGTTATAGGAGTTAAAAGTTAAAATATTAATACATATTTAAATACAATAGCCCTGTTTCTGAAGGCAGGTTGACGTAAATCCACTTCATCCGATAGGCTACCAGTATTTTGAACAACATCCTCAAGCTCAGAAGAAAGGCCTGCCATGGCATGTACAATGAAGTGAAAATTAAAGCTTCTGTTCTGTTGACTTCTACATTCTGGTCTCTCACTCTTTGCAGGTGTATTTGGAGATGCCAAGCTGACAGCAATTGTATCATTAATATCAACAGTGTCAGGTTTTCTCTCTGTCAGCTATGTGCTTTTTTGGAGGCTCTGCACTGTGTCCACAACTATTTAAATAAGCAAATGTAGCTGCGTGCCATTTGACAGGCAGCATTGTAGGCTGCAACCTACAGTCTTGTCTTCGAAAGATCACATTGCTGTTTTAAGAAAGGAGAAGCTTAATAATTAACATTTTAAAGAGGAAGTTCGACAGAGGCCAGGAGAGTGAAAAGATAACAGAAAGCAAAATCAGCAAGACTTCTGAGCCGACCCTGGCTACATTTCAAGAAAACATTAGAATCACCAGCCATAAAATATTTGATTTATTTGTCTCTTAATTCAACAAATACTCTTTGTCTCACACACCATGATTAGTTCCATTAAATCACAATTAACAATTTCAATAGGAGAAGAGAATATTATCAGACAGACATTGTTTTTTTCATATAACACAATTAGGACCCACTTGCTTGCACTTTGAATTCACTTCATCCAGTATGACACTTGAAACACCAAGAAAACAAACGAGCCAACGAGGACTACTATAGGCATAAGATGGAAAATAAATCACACTGAAACTGAAATAAATAAATAAATAATTTTGTTTAAACAACTACACATAAGTTATTCATGGTTTATTATAATCCACAGAGCACCATCTGATCTGATGGGTGCCTTTGTCTTACATTTTCTCCGATGTGGGATTTATGATATATCTAGCAGCTCAAAAACCAATAATAACATATTCACTCCATTGTTTTTCCACATATTTCATTCCCCAGATATAAACACGTACACACTCACAGTTAAGATCCATGGCGGACATTTTCACTGGATCTTTGACAACTCTTTGCATGAAGATTGATAACCTGGACAGGCTTCTTAATGCCCGCACATTTAATCACCTCCTGTCATGCGGAGGTTTTGTTCCTCTGTCCAGTTAATGATCAAACATGTTTTCTGGAATGAGTAGACTACTTTACACTATGATTGAAGAGTTTATTATTGCACATTATCACGAAGGCAAAATAAAAAGATGTACATTTCACACAAATTATCCTCCTCATGAGCTTCTTTGTCAAGTGGTTAACGTGATGTTTTGATAAGGTCTGCGTTATGACAACCTGCCGGAGTGCGGCATTTTAGGACATCTCCATTCGATAAAGGTCATCTCTGAAGCTCTCAGTCATGGATATTGTACTTGAACGCCTCTATGAGCCCCTCGATTGAGTGAATGAAGCCAGATATGGCGCATATGCCGCCAATAACAAAAATGGCAACGTCGAAGAAGACGTGGTGCCACAGGAGATTCCTCCACTGCAGCTTCAGGTGGAAGAGGCTTGGCAGGAGGAAGCACAGGCCAGCGCCAGTGAGACTCCCAGTTAAACCCATAAGGAGGGCGAAATGGGGGACAAAGACGGCCATAAGCAGGGTGAAGACTACCAGGGCAATTCGGAGGCCCAGACCCCATGATTTCAACTGCCCACCAGGGCCGTAGCAGTCAGGGAAGAGGGCTCTCCCACCATCCTGGAACAAGGATTTCTCCAGAACCTCGACTGCAGCAAAGAATGGCAGTGGGTAAGATAACAGCGCCTTGGCGACGAGGAAGATGTTCACCACAGCCCGGATGGTTGAAGGCAGGTTATCTGTAATGACCTCTTTAGTGGCATCTGCCCAAGTCAAGTAGGCCACCAGGGCAAAGAGGCCCTTGAGGACGCAGGCTGCGATGTGAGTCCACTCCATCATGCAGTGGAACTCACTGGGCTTCTGCATGTTTCCCTCCAGGGAGGGGAGGAAGATCTGGGAGGTGTAGCTGAACACGATGATGCCAATTGAAATGGGGAATTTCTTCACGTCGATATAAAACTTGACCTTGTCCCAGGCCCAGTCGCGTGCCCTGGAGAGGCAGTAGGCAATCACGAGGACGTTGATGACGAAGTGCGCCAGAGTGCAGAGCAAGCTGAACTTGGACACGGCCTTGAGGTTCTTCAGGAACGCGCAAGGCAGCAGCGCCACCGTGGCCACCACTGACCAAGCTTTCTGGGAGACGGGAAACCCCGGGAAACTGTTGTACATCAGGTTGCCGCTGACCACAACGTAAAGAATACAGGTCATGACCAGCTCGATGATCTGAGCCACGTTCACAACGTGCCCGCCCAGCGCTGGGAAGCGGGGCGCGCAGCAGGCATTGGCGATGTCCACGTAGGAGTCCCTCACGCGCACTTTTATGCCATCCTCGTTGTCCTCGTACAGACACGCGATGAGGATTTTTCCCGTGTAACAGCACACCACAGCCGCGAAGATAATGAGGAAGAGACCGAGGTAGCCACCGTGGAGGATGGCGTACGGCAGGCCGAGGACGAACATGCCCTGCGGACAGAGAGGCGCAGTTGAGTGGTAATGGACGAGGCCCACATCGCAGTGACAGGCCGAGCCAGCCCAGGCATGCAATAACTGGCTCACACAGCTCACATCTTACATAATAACACTGAAACAAATCTAAAATAATTAAAAAATAAAACAATAAAAAGATATTTTTGTGCATTCACATAACAGTGCAACGTAGAAACATTTTATTTATCAAAGCTGATTCAATCCAATGTCACACAATTATTTTCTCATTCGCCGCGCCCTTGAAAAACAGGCCTTTCTTTTGCGTAGGCTACAGGCTGCATCGAATTAAGGCATTAAAGGAAACTTTAAAAACGAATTTTCTAATTTCAGTTGATCACACTTTCAATTTGATGGAGACGCAGATAAGCACGTGGGTGCCATTCAGCCTCAGGGCTATCAAAGTCACACAGGCCCTGCCTGCAGCTCCACTGATAAAAAGATTTGAATAAATAAATCCTAAATCCCTCTGCTGCGATGAATTCACTCACACGCCATGGATTAAACGTTAAATTGGAGCCTGAATTAAATTATGATAACAGTAATTTGAAATACATTTAAAGCTCAATTTATTTTTCGTCAATATTGATCATATTGCTTTATTTAAATGTTGGATTGTTTAGAAACATGCGCAACTCAAGAGTATTCCAAATTAAATCTTAAAATATAAATCTCATAATTTGATAATCCTCAAGGTGACTTTTGGTCCAGTTGCAGGCCTGATCCATGCAGCCCTTGGTGTGTTTGCATGCACTCATGCAAAGTAAAAGTAATCACAGTGTACCTGAATGGCATTGGTGACGTTCCAGCCAGCTTCCCATGACGTGATTTTTGGCTTGTCCTCATCCAGCGAGCCTCCTGTCTTTAGGGACGAGGGCCTCCGACCGGTGCCGTCCCTCTGGTAGTGGCTGTCTCCCTCCAGCTCCCCCTCACCCTCCATGTGTCCCCCTTCCTCCTCCTCTCCCTGAAGGACATCCATTTGCATCCCTTGCCTGTAGTCATAATCCAAGTCGTCGCATTCGGCGAAACCCAAACCTTCCTCGTCCGTGGCGGCCTGGAAGCCCAGCCGGGCAAACACCCCGCTGACCTTGGCCTGAGATTTGTTGGATACCGTGTGGGCCGCGTTGGTCAGCTTGTTGGTGAGCTTGTGTCGTATTAGATGAGCCATCTTTACCCGAATAAAATGCGTTCTTCAAATGAAAATGGTATTACCGAGCAAAAAGCAGAGAGGCAGGAGCATGCAGGGTGATTTATTTGCTTTTTTTAAACTGCGACTGTAAAGTCATGCCTGTTGCCTCTTTGATGTCGTCGCAAATTAAGCTATCCAGCCCTCTAACGGCTGCCTCACCGTCTCACCCAAACCGTTAAAAATTCCTCAGCCGCTTCTCTTGGTTTGCTCATCCATATTACTCCCTCAGAAACACTCCTTGGCGTCCGCCTCAACGAGAAAACGCCCCAAAACAGAGACAGAAACGAGAATATGTCCTCATTTGTCGTTTAAAATAGACAATTTAGCATTTTTTGTCAGTTGGGGGTCCTGATGGTGACAGCGCGAGCGCTGGAATCTCTGACTGCATCACCCGGAGAGAGGAGGGAGAGCGCGAGGGGCGTGCACGTGTCCGCATAGAGTGCCAGTGTAACAGCTCGCGCACAGCGGAACTGTCACGATGGCAGAGAGAGGGAGGGAGAGACTTTAATTCACCGACACAGTGGTCACGAGGATAAAACGGTCAGGTCATTTGAAGGCAGCGGTGTTACAGAATCGCTAGTGACATAATGTATGAATGAAAAGATCAAACATTTCACCTGCTTTCATGAAGCCTGTCAACAGGTCGACGGGAACATGCAAGGGGCGTCGTGCATGTAGGCTATGCTGAGTAGATATTTAACAAAACCCCTGCATCTATTTAATTTAGAAATACATTTTTAAATTCTTACAGGCTACTAATCTGCAGGTGTATTTAGGCTGCGACATTTAGAGTGCCGCAAACACAACCAACGCCATCCAAAAAATAACCACAGGCTTTGGACTATTTGTGCATAATTGATCTCAGTTGTTTTTTCGTTAGACAGAATTTTAACTGTTCAGCCTGACCTGCTCAGCTGCATTTTAACATGTGAAATCAATCTTAAAATTGCGAAAAGAAGCACGCGCACCAGCAGCCTGTCCTACTCTGAGACAGTGCAGTCACACACACAGCCCAGAGTCGTACACACAACTCGTGCGTATTTTCTGTCACGTTAAGACAAAAAGCCTAAATATTGCATGACTAATATTTTTAAAGAATGATGAAAATTTGTTTCTAAAGAGAATATTTTACTGCACGTTTTATCATTTGTTCCTACACATTTTCATTCAATAAACAGACATCGAAAACCCAGTTCAAGCATTTCCATATACGCCCACCTTCGTATTAAAACATTTAAATTAATGGCGCGGTTTACTCAGATCTGCGTGTCTGATTTTCTCATGAATGCATATGTAAACAGATTTTAAGTTTCCAGCTCATTTGACACCAGATGACCATGTTCAGCCGGCTGTGAAGGGATGCAACTCGTTGCTGATATGATGATCATCCTGCGGCTGGCCTGCTGCAGACCACCGACAGCACCACGGACAGCTCCTTAAAACAGACAGATAGAAAAAACAGGTCAGACTCCTCCTTTTTTTTAAATTTCACAGTGAATTATAGAAAAAAAGAGAGTCAGCCCATTTAAAACACCATGCGCTGGATCTAATAGCCATATTTATTATTGTTTTGTAGTGGGCTGCATTTATTAAAGATCTGCGCAGTGGAAATAATCTCAGGGGGAGAGTTATTTCTTCTTCACCTCAGCTCCTCGGGAATAAGCACCTCATCTTTGCCTCCATAATCTGCTGTGACACGGCTGAGCAAAACTGTCACCAGTTTTTTGCAGCCTGCATGCAGAAATGTAGCCCGCTGTGGCAGGAAGGCTGAAAAATCATCCGCAATTTATGAGTTTTAAAAACACTGACATTTTCTGTTAATTAAGAAAAACTTAGATAGAGTAAATATATTTTTCAAGGTTATAAAAAAATATCGCAGACACAGGCATGTGAAGAAATATAAGACGATATTTCTCGAGCAGCATTGCAAGACAAAAACGCAACATGGACGAGAGGTCTAAATTTAGAAACCAGCCAGAGGACAGAGAAAGTGCCGCATATTTTCATGCTTGGCTTGGGCTGCTTTGCCAGCTGCCATTTGTGCTCAGGCCAACATAGTGTTTGTTAGTGAGTGTGTGTCATCCGTGTCTGGGGGTATGTGCGTGTGTGTATGTGTGTGTGCGTGTGTATGTGTAGGACAGTGAGGAAATAGGGAGAGTCCTTGAGGCATCTCTCCCTCCCCCCATCACATACATGCACAATCCCCGGGCTAACGCTGGGACAGAGGATCGGCTGCAAATGTCACACACACACACACACACACACACACACACACGCAGACACGCACACAAAAACGCAAGCACGCAAAATACATGCTGCCTCACCCTAAATCTGAAAAATAGAAACTGCTTCAAGGCTGCATCTATCGAGAAATGTAAAGAAAGACATGTACAAAACAATACTGCAGAAATATAACAATAATTTTGCAAATCTGAAATATATAAACTCAATATTGGAAAATATCAGGCCACATTAAATTCTCTCCAACAGAATAGATGTATTTCCACTTCCTTGCGACAAAATGGATTTTCAGTCTGCCTTTTTTTTCTTTGAAAGGACTGTAAGATTGGTTGCTGGGGCGACCAATTTAGCTTCTAAGGCTACAAAGAGAGGGATTAATTCAGGCGCTATGTGTGTGTGTGTGTGTATGAGTGAGAGACAGCAAGAGACACTCACAGAGAGGGGAGTGTATGCTTGCAAGCACGCCCGCTTCAGTGTGTGTGTGTGTGTGTGTGTGTGTGTGTGTGTGTAGGCCCGAGATATGGAGGGGCTTATAGCCTGTCTAACAGCCATGCAGTGCTGACTGGAAGCAATAATCTTTGATAGTTGCCATGGTCACAGTAATTGGGCGGTGTGTGTGCATGTGTGTGTGGGTATGTTGAGATTTTAGAGCAAAGAGATTTTTTTCATAGCACAGGTTATTTGTTATTTGTGTTTGAAAGCTTTGACTGCCTGGATGGAAGCAGATTTAAATCATTTAAGCCAATCCTAAACCTTTTGTGTGACTGTAGAGTGACAAAAAAAGGCAAAATACACATAGAGCAGTCAGGTGGTACTTGGTGGACAATCACAAGATTTTTTTTAATGACAGAAAATCTATACAATTGCATCACATAATGCTGATTGGTTTATGGCAATTAACCACAATGTTTGAAAATATTCTGAGATTATTGAATTAATTGTAGAAATTTCCAAGTGAGTCCTGACCACTGATCCAGTGTTCGCGCCACCTATAGGTTAAATATTTTGCAGGATCACTTGCTGTTATGTCAGGTTTCATAATACCTTCCTACAAAAAAGGCCTTTTGCCACAGCAGATATTTTGACTTGTAGCCTATATATAATAAAATTAACAATGGCTGAATTCCTTTGAGCTACTTCAGTTTCCAGTCCTATTGTTCATGGTTCACTGTCACACTGTCATGCTAGGACACTTGTCATCACTGATGTAAACAGGAAAAAGTCCCCTCCTCCTCCTCTCTTTTAATATTGAGCCTGACTTTCAGCTCCTGTCATTTTTTTGCACTATTCAGGAGATGGAGGACTGTCCTGCTGACGATATTCTGTTATCTGTTATTAGGGGTTAAGGAATGGGGAGGATTGTGATTATACTTCAAGCTTTGTTCCCCATCATATTTTTGCTTTAAGTTAAATACCTGTTGTGAACATGTTTTGTGTAATCCTGTTAAAACTGAATTAAAATATTCTTGATTTAAAAAAAAAAAATAATAATGGAAAAAGTCACAAGCCAGATTACAAGAAGCCAAGGTGATACATGTAAGTAAACAAATGATTAGCATTTTTACATTTCATCCAAATATGTTCCAGATATGTAGCACATATGGTTAGGTAAATTGATAAAATCTGTGATGAAAATCAGTATTTGCAAAAATAAATAAAAGGTGAAAATGGGTGTGACCTACATGAAGAGAGAGACATAGGACAGCAATTCATATAAGTAAGATTTTACTTGTTTATGGGATTTATAACTGGCCATATGGTGGCTATATTCCCCACCATCCACAAAACAGTTCTTTCCAGTTTCCACCAGTTCCAATAAAATCCTCTGGATTCTTTGGTGTAATGAAAATACTGTTGGAAAAAGCCTGTTGACTTGTTATTATTGGGGGGAATCAGAGCAACAGATGAGACAAGAACTGTGTCTGAAATCACTCTCATGTTCATTTAGGCCCATTCACTACTCCCCATATTACAGACACTCAAAAGTTTACTCAGTAGTGAACAGTCAATGAAGACTTCAGAGACACTTACTAATCACCATCATCATTATCATCATTAGCCTACCATTGGAACTCTGTTCCACAAGAAATTTGCAATATTGATTCCTTTTCCACCCTTAAATCCAGTGTGATAACACACCCTGTCAAGCTGGCACATTTGGTCTGATCCAATGGTGACACACACATCCAGATTTGCACTGATGTTGACTTTTTGATGATGATTTTTATATCTAGTTTTTATTATTAGGATTTTTTGTCTAGTTATTTTATTAACTTTTTACTGTATATGATGTATATATTTGTTTGACTTTATGGATCCATGGATAAGTTGCTGCTTGCTTCTTTACTGTGTCTTGTGAGGTGTCCCTGAAAGGCATTTATGAATAAAATGCATTATTACTACTATCATTATCATTATTATTATTATTATTATTATTATTATTATTATTATTATTATTATTATTATTATTATTATTATTATTATTATTATTATTATTATTATTATTATTATTATTATTATTATTATTATTATTATTATTATTATTATTATTATTATTATTATTATTATTATTATTATTATTATTATTATTATTATTATTATTATTATTATTATTATTATTATTATTATTATTATTATTATTATTATTATTATTATTATTATTATTATTATTATTATTATTATTATTATTATTATTATTATTATTATTATTATTATTATTATTATTATTATTATTATTATTATTATTATTATTATTATTATTATTATTATTATTATTATTATTATTATTATTATTATTATTATTATTATTATTATTATTATTATTATTATTAGTAGTAGTAGTAGTAGTAGTAGTAGTAGTAGTAGCAGGAGGAGGAAGAGGAGGAGGAGGAGGAGGAGAAGTAATAACATCATCTTTTTCTATCTCACAGTAATTTTTGCATTTATAAAATGCAGAGCATTGCATTGTGGGATGGTTAGCTCAAAGTAGTGTATATTGCATTGATTACATTCAATCAAATACAGTGGCAGACAGTAAATACCGTGCACTGTGTAGTAAATAGGAGTGGTTTTAAACACACAGCTGGTAAAGCACTCACACACATAGTTCACACACACACACACACACACACACACACACACACACACACACACACAGGTGTTTATCCTCCTCAGGACATGTGTGAGCATGTACAAACCGCATCTGAGTTATGTCTCCC